TTTGTTAGATTTTACTGTGTCTAAAGGTATAGGCAGCTATTTTGAACATAATAGGATATATTATGGTAATCATGGTTGGTTTCCTATCATAAGTCCTATATTGTCTTTATTAATTTGTTTAATTGGTTTTATTCCACTTTGTTTTGATTTTATTATGTGTGATGGTATGAACACCTATGTTGAAGAAAGTGAGACTTTAGGTAGTCTTTGCTGGTTTCCTATCATCTTGTTTTAAGGTCCTATAATGCTTTCATTCTTTTGTTTTTATTGATTTTATTCTGCTGTGTTTTATTTGCTTTTGTTATGTGTGATAGCATGGACAATGGTTTTGAAGAAAATGAGACATTATAGTAACCGTTGTTCATTTCCTGTTATCTGGTTTTGAAGTACTGTGATGCTTTCATTCTTTTGATTGGTTTTATACAATTTTGCTTTGATATTATTGTGTGTGAAGGTATGGACAACTATTTTGAAGAAAATGAAAGACATTATGGTAGCCACTGTTGATGTCTTGTTATCTTGTTGTAAAGTCCTATGTTGCTTGCATAGTTCTGTGCTTATTTGCTTTGTTTTATCTTATTTTGTTTCGCTTTCTCTAAAATAAAAAAAAGTAAGCAATTGTGGGGCTTTCCTTTTTCAGACAAAGAAGGTTAACTAGTTTTAGATCAATGAGCAAGGATATGTGAAGTACAAAATAGGAATATTTCTGAAAAGACAAGTAGTTGTTTGCTTGTTCTGGTCAATAGAAGAATTTGCATTACAATAAAACATCTGATGTAGTACAGATACTATAACTAGATTAAGTTTAATATTTTGATATTGCCATTATAGCTCTCAGACAAGGTAACTTGTAGTTTCTGAATCTAATGAAGGAATGAAATAATAAGCCTTAAAGAGCACCATGCAAATCAATCAGCACTCCTCTGCCATGTCCAGATCATTTATAAACAAAAATGTTTTGTGAATTTAGAAGCCTGGAAAAATACTTTATTAGATATTTCATTAGTTTTTATGTAAACATGTGTATTTCTTTTAAGTTGAAAAGTATACAATTTCAGAAGATGCTTATATTTTCATATTGTGCTTACTGTATAATTAAACCAGAAATAAAAACTCTTTTTATTATTATTTGTTTTAGTTCTAAGTTTGGTAGACAAAAATGCTCAAATCGTTTCTGACTGAATTACAATTTGGAGGATTTTAAACAAATTCATACTCCTTGTGGTTTTGTAAAGGATTAAACACTTATGTTACTGAATAATCATTTTAAGAAATCCAAAAACACATCAGGTATAAAAAGTATCAGTCATGTTACTCTGGATCTGAGGAAAGCAGAAGTAAGACCAATTAAAGAGGCAAAGACAAATTTCCACAAAATGTCCACAAACATAAAAACAATAACAAATGGTTATTTTAAAACAAATTACCATAATTTTAAAAAGCTTTTAAATATGATTTATGATGAAGTTCAAATATAGAATTAACAATAAATCAATGACAGAAAAAGTCAGAACCTACTAACCTGGTCATAAAATAATCTAGTCTTTCTAAATTAAAAGGGATAAAATATTATTTTATTTCTTTGGTACTTATTAATGCATCAATGCAATAAATGATGTATTAAAATATCTTATATTTAGGCATATGAAATATATAGATACAGAAAAATTTTAATTATAGTTTAAAGAATAAGCAATATACTAAATGAGTATCTAGTCACAAATGTATTACTAAACATATTTATAAAATAATTGCATATATGCCTAGTTTTGTTTAGCATCTAAATAAAATTAATTGGTTTTAATTGACAGCTAAACTGGGCATATTTATCATGTACAACATGATGTTTTGGAAAATGGTTAAATTTTGCTAATCAACAAATGCAGTAGTTCACTAATTATCACTTTTGTAGTGAGAAAAATTATCTACTGCCTACATTTTTCAATAATAGAGCGTAATTAACTGTAGTTATTAGGTTGTAAACTTCATATGTTTAACTTGTTCCTATCTAGGTTGAGTTGTTAATTAACAACTTCCTTAATAATAATACAATATCTATATTATATTATAGAAAATATCTATTACCTTATATAAATATTTATATTTTTCTGTATTTTTACCAACTATTGTTGACTATTTACATTAATGTTTGTATCTAAGGAAAACAGGCCCATTTTTTCACTAGGTATAAAACATATTTTTCTTGTGAATCTACAAGTGTTATAAAATAAAAGTTTATGAAATAATCAACCTTCTAGTTATAAAAAGAACAAACTATTAGTAAAAATTACACATGAATAAGCCTCACATTTTTCTAATTGCAAGAAGCCAGTTGTATTATCCGATTTTACTTGCATAAACATGTAGAAAAGGTAAAATCTATACGTGTATGGACTCTATTTGTGTAAATGTGTAGAAAAGGTAAAATCCATAAAAGCAAGTAGGTTTGTTGTTACTTAGGGCTGAGAGTGAAATTAACTTCAAACAAGTGCAATATGACTTTTTGGGTGATAAAATGCTATAAAATTGTGTGATAGTTATTGCTGTACACATCTGTAAATGCATGAAAATAATTGAAATGTACATTTACATAAGTGCTTTTTATGATGTGAAACTTACATGTGAATAAAGAAGAATCAAAACTTCCCCAAGGTAGTGAGATGTAAAAATAATGATAATGTAATTGACAACTGCCATTATAACTTTTCTGAAAAAAAACAAATGCCAGAAAAGACACATCAAATGGCAAATAGCTTGCCAAAAATCAGAACAAATTCTAATCATGAAAAGACATCAAATACTAAATATAATAATGATAGGACATCAGATAAACCATTTTGAAAGAAATTCTATAATAAAGCAACCTGTGCTTATGAAACAGGTATGTGAAAAAGACAAAGGTTAAGGAACTATTTTAGATTAAAACAAATTTAAAAGCTGACAATAAGATGCAACATGTAGCTGGTCTTGGTGGCACATGAAAAATGGTAAAGATCATGTCACAGTGATATATGTGCACCCATTTTCATAGCAGCACAATTTGTAATAGCTAAATCTTGGAAACAACCAAAATGCCCATTAACCACAGACTGGATGAAAAAGATGTGGTATTTTTATACAATCAAATATTACTCAGCAATAAAAATGGATGATCTTGAGGCAACTTGCGACTATCCTCATAAGTGAAATAAGCAAGACTCACACTAGTAAGCATCACATTGTCTCGCTAATATAAAAAAATAATAAAAACAGAGAGTAATAAGATCCAAAATATATAATTGATATTGCAAAAATGAAAGGGAAGGAAAGTGCTCTAAAAGATATCTCTGTATGTATAAGTGTGTAAGATAAATGAACATATGACTAAATTTTTGTTGGATCATTAAACAGAATGGTTTACACCATCAATGTTTGTGTGTCTATCTACTTTTTCTGCTTTGGTTTTGCATCTTGAACAACCATTTCTAATATGACAATATGTAACATATCAACTAGAGAGTTCTTAGTGTTAATTTTTTTTGAATTCTGTATTATCTTACCTTTTCTTCTATTTTGTTTTTTTCTTTCTTTAAATAAGTAAAAAATAAATAAAATAAAAAGAATCATGACTCATCTTCCATGTAAAGATAGATAAAGCTTTCGGATTCTAACATCTATAATATTAATAATGCTATAATACTGCATCAAATATAAAAATTGAACTCAGTTCAAATTCTTCAGCCTCATATCCTGTCCAAAACTAATCCTGCATATCCTGAAAGGCTGTCCTCTGGGCTCAGAAAGCCACCCATGTTGTTTAGAAGTCTCACTTTTTACTGCCTTATGTTTATAGAGGCTGTTTAAGAATCGGTCACTTCCCCAGTCAGTCCGTGAGAGCCCTGAGATATTAAGTCTCCTTTCTTCCTGAGTCCTTCTTGCACACACAATGAATGTATACTGAATGCATATTGAGGGGATGATGAAGAAGGAGCCCTCGTCTCCCATCTCCAAGGAACTCAGGTACAGTACACTGAAGGAAAATGCACACTGACCGTGTAGCTGGGGGTCCTGAGTGTTGGTCTTGGTCCTGCCATACACTCACCTTGAGGCCTGGGAAACTTGTTGACTTCTCATAGCCTCATACCCCCTTCTGATACCCCCTTTCCTTCCAGTGGAAAGTAGGAAAATGACAGGGTTTGTGGGTAAAGGCAGTGAGAGAATGTTCACTGTTCAAAATGGCCTATGGCTGGAACTCCTAGTATGCCTCCATATACTTTCCTCTTTTTATATGAATTCAAAGACTAGAGCTTATTGACAAGACACAGATCATTTTCCATCTGTCTTAGGTACTTTGCTGTCATTGAGAAAAACACCCAAAACCCACATTTTAAGGAGAAGTTTATTTTGGATTACAGTTTCAGTGAATTTAGTCCATGGTCTTCTGGCTCTAAGGTTGAAACAGCATGGCAGACCCACATTGTGGGAGCAAGTTGTTTGTGGCCTCACTGCCAGGATGTGCAGAGAGAAAGAGCTGGGTTGAGAATACACCCTACCACATGATGCCCACCTCTTTCAAAAAGTCCCAACCTCAAAATATGAGATGTTTGGGGGAAGATTTTAGATCTAAATCATAATACCATCATCCTAATCCTATACGGCTAGATACTGCCACGTAACTCAATCTTGACCAACAAGGTATTAGTGAAAATTTTACGTGGAGCTTTCAGGAATTATTCACTGGAATTTAGAAACAATGACTGTAGTTTAGATAACCATGTTAAACAAGAATATGTATGCCAGTAGAGCAGTAAGATTAAAGGAGCAAAGTTCTTTTAAAAATTATAAGCTGAGTAATTTTTATCTCTATCTAATATGACTTTCAATACTCTTTCTAGGGTTGGTTTGGTGGACATAAATTTCTTCAGGTGTTCTTTGTCATGGAAGTATCTTGTTTCTCCTTTGAATTGGAAAGAAGGTTTTTCTCGGTATATCAATCTGGGTTGAAAGTTGTTTTCTTTCAGGGTTTGGAATACTTCACTCCAAGTTCATCTTAACTTGAGAGTTTGGGCTGAAAAGTCTGCCATGAATCTAATGGATTTTCCTTGATAGGTGAGTTGTGTCTTTACTCTTAACAGCTTTTAGTATTCTGTTCTTATGTTGTATGCCTGAAATTTTAATTATTATATGTCTGGGTGTAGATTTACGTTGTTAGTGTGTAAAATAAACATATTACTAAGTTTTTGTTGGATCATTGAACAGAATGGTTTGTACTCTCGTTGTTTGAATGTTCAATTTCTATGCTTTAATTTTGTGACTTGAACAACTATTTTTCTTCTTTTTTTCTTTTTGAACCATGGATTGAACTCACAACCTTGCATTTGCCAGACAGGCACTTATACCACTGAGCTAAATCCTTGGCCCTAATGAACAGTTCTTTCTAAGATGACAGTATGTAATTTATCAACAAGTGATTTCTTAGCATTAATTTTTTGAAATTCTATATTATTTCTATCCTTTTTTCTATTTTGATTTCTTTTTTCTCTTTAAATAAAAAACTTACAAGCTACTGCACAAGTCTTGCTTTGTCCATGTTCAGACTTACACGAAAAAATCTTTCACATCTAAACTACTTTATTAATGAAATCAATTTAGGACCTTATATAGTGGGCCCCTGACTTATAAACTTAATTTATTCATGAAAGCTGATTGTAACTCAAGTTGGTTGTAAGTCAAGGTTAATTTTTGCATAAGAAATGATGGACATACCCATAATGCATTTTGTACCACCCAAAGTACACCTTAACTCACTTTTTCACAATAAAATTGGTTGTATGATGTACATAGTTTATCAGAAACACCAATAATTGTCCTAGTATATTCACAAAAAAGTTATAAAATATGCCTAGCCTACCAGAAACAACAATTGCATAATGTACTCACTGTTCAAGTTGACATTTTTGGCTGTAGGAAGGGAGGATGAAATGGAAGGTGGTTACTGTTCGGAAGGAGAGTTACCTTCCATAAGAACACCTGAAATCTGGCTCTCTGCTGTTCTTTCTCTTCTTGGGAGAGTCTGTAGCCTACTAGGACCTTCTTCTGCTTCACTAGATCTCAACATTTTCAAAACTAAAAACTGGTTTAAGATTGTTTGTTTCTGTCTTTCCTTTAACACTGTTCTATAGTATGACATGGAATTGTCACTAAACAAGTTAGTGCAATGATTGGCTTTTTCTCTGTCTGGGTGGATCTTCTCTATAAATGTTTATAGCTCTGTCCATGTTTTCAGGATTTTCTTTATTTCTAAAGAGCATTGTGGCACTGACTGTTGATATTCCCCTTCCTCTTCAGAAAGCTCCTTGGCATTCATTCTCTGTTGCTGTTTCTGAAGTTCCTCTGCAGATAATTCTGACTATTCCTCCATTAGTTCCTCACAACCACCAGTGTCTACCTGCAAGCCTACCAACTCTGAAATAATGACAATGTCTTCAACCACAGGTCAGTTGAAGGCTCAGGCTCCCCTACAAAGCCTTCAAAGTCTCTCTCCTCTATAATTTTGAGCAGATCCAGTGTCCTTAGATATTGGCTCAGGATTTCACAATTAACTACACACAGGGAAGTGTGCTGTAACATTCCTTCCAGAACTCTTTAAGAATTGAATCAGATTGAATCAGCATCCATGAGCTCCACATTTCAAGGTCATTCTCCAGTCAAAATCTTGGGTTCCTCTGAATCCCCTTGGCAAACTCCTTGTGTAAGGAACTCACATGTTATTTATTTCTTTCCTAGCAAGGACCAAGTGCTCTTTAGAGGGCTCTTCAGAACCTTTAGAGGAAACCATTTTCTGAAGAAAACTATTTTCTGAAGTACTGGTGAAGAAATACTACCATATACACTCAGATCTAATCACCTGCCAAACCTATTTGAGGCCTTTCTGGACATTGGAATTTGTCCTGATCACATGGCTTTGCTACTGCAGTGTGAGCATGGCTCAGGATCATGTGGACATATGTAGCATGTCTCCCACACATGACAACAAGGAGAAAATGCAGTAGGAGCTGCTATGAAGGGGTAGATGCAACTGATGTCTCAAGATGGCCCTATCATGTAGATCATGCTGTACCAAATACAGAGAAGCCAGGCTCTCCGACCTTTAGAGGAAACCATTTTCCACTTTACACACCAGGTGAATGTGGAGGTTGTGAATTCAGGGGTGCACAACTTTAAAGTTCATGAAATTGAACCTTTGCTCCTCTTCCAGCTGGTTCCCCACTTCCTGCATGAGTCTTGGGACCTGGATACTAGAAGGAGTTTTCTGCATAATTTAATCTATGCTGCCTTAGAGCTCTGAAGTTACTATAAACAACTTCAGACATCCCACTTCATAGATGAAGAAACAGAGCTCACAATGACATAGAGACTTACCCAAGGTCACATAGGTGCCAGTGGGCAAAGTTCAGTCTTTCCCCCTTTTCTAATCTCCAAACTTCCTAAACTCCCATGTTTCTACAAACATCTAGCACCTCCTTCTCTTTTTGTGTGTAACAGGATTCATTTTACCTTCCCAGCTTTACTAAAGTATAATAAACAAATAAAAATAATTTATATTTAAGTTGTAATAACTTGATACAAGCACCATGCATTTAAAAATGATGGCCTCAATCAAATTGATCTACACATCTATTATTTCTAGTTACCATCTGTGTGTGTGGTAAGAATATTTAGAATCTAATTTCTTAGAAACTTCAAGTATACAGTGTGGCATCATTAAGCACACTTGCCATGCTGGTTCACCTTGTAGCAGAAAGTCTGGGCACACATCCCTGAGAAACCTGTTTGCCCAGCTGTGTGAAGCAAAGCTGAAGCCCTTTTCGCTTTAAGCTGTGTCTCCCTTTCTACTTATCCCTGGGAGCTTGGGGAACTCTGAGCCCAGAGAAGGCTCTTCTTCACTGCCGTCCCTCTGAAACCAAGTGAACCGGAGTGAGATTTCAGGGCGTGCCCTGCCACCTCCCCAGGGCAGGGCCAGTGCTCACCCACAACCTTGCCCGAACTGTCTCAGCAGCTGCTAGAGGCCAGGCCACAGTGACGCCACATCTCTGCAGCCCAGGACCCAGAGGCTGAGAAACCGTACTCCAGGAGGCTTGAGGCTGTGCTGGGCAGGTAAGAGGCAAATGAGTTTTTAGTGACTAGATTATATAACTCTGTTCCATTTTTTTGTCCTCCTTTCACAATCCCTGGTTCTCTGACATCATGTTGCTGATTTTTCTTCTATATAATACTGCTTTTCTCTGGGAATTAAACATCTAACTCATCTCCCAGGTGCCATCTGGACACAGGAGCACTCCAAATGCTTGGCCTCCTGGTGACTGGGGAAGATCACCAAGAGGAAGACAGTGGGTGCCCATCTTGGCCATCATAGATGGTGTGTTTTCCCCTGCAGGATTTGGCCTTGCTTCTTTCTCTGTCATTAACTATGCTCTGCAAGTGGCTGAGGAGAATCACAGGGTAATGCATTTGAGTTTGAATTGAATCAAACACAAGTATATACAACATCAGCAGAATCTCTAGATCCTGAGATCTGCAGGCTGGAGCAGAGCATGGTCCAGGCAGGAAAGGAAGGATGAGGACTAGGGTATCAGTAAGGAGAGAGACAAAAATCTCTAAATCTGGAAGGGGAGCCCATGCTCAGGGTGCTCCTGTCCCCAGTCCAGCCCCTTTGCCTCTGATTAGAGATTCCACAAGGATCAACATAGAGCTGATTCCTCTCCCGCCACCAGGAAGTGGGGTAGAGTAACTTTCACAGTCAGACAAAAATCCAAATTAAAAACCCAAGCAAGCCACAGAGACTAGCCAATAAATCATCCTCACCTAAAAATGGGAATAATGAGGCCAAGTTGCATTGTTCATGTGTCAGCTGAGATCATATCTATGCTTCCGCCTATATAGTTGTAAACATCAGTCTCCTTGGCCTTCATTGTTCTGGAGAAGGAAGTTGCCAGCTCTACTGAGTGTGGTTTTTCAGGAAAGACTTGTAAATAGTCAGGATGAGGCCAGCAGTAGGTACACAGAGCCTGCCCAGCATTTTGCTTGGAGCCAGCAGTCAGAGGAACGCCTAGGCAGCAGCAGAAAAGTGACTTCTCTTCCATATGAAAGTCGATTCTGTAGTGTGATGGAGGATACCAGGGCTGAGGACCACTTTGAACAGTCACCATCAGATGATTGCCTTGTACACAGCATTGATGCTTCCATCCCTGGGCAAAAGGTGCCCAGATGACCTATCCTGGTGGCAACATTAGTCCCTTGTGGTGGGGCCAAACAAGGCTACTTCTTGCTCACGGCTCCATGCAGGGAATGGGCAGGTATAGCGCTAAGCATTGAGTAAGGGAAACACTACCAAAGGAGCAAGGAGCACCCCAAAGAGGAAGACACGTATGTCAGCATGCTTGTGTCACAGTAAAACCAGCCAGAACCGATCCCCGCCACCTCCTCCCTCACTCTGTGCCATGTCTGCCTCAATGGTTGCACCAGGCACTTCATCCACATCCATACCCCATGCTGCCCAGGGATCTCACCTCCATTCCCTGACCTTGTCCCAATCACTGGGGATGTGAGTACCAACAGATAAGCAGAAAGCAGTGTGCAGGGCTTATATCTAAAACAGAAACCCCAAATCTTATTCACAGATAAGTGGGGAGCAGTCTGAAGTTGAGAATGTTTTGGGTTGGGAACTGGGGAGAGCCTCTGAGCATGGAGGATGGTAGAGGAAGCAACACACACAAAGACTCGATGGGGAAGGTGTGCATGGAGCCTCTGGGAGCATCGCTTTACGGAGTTTAGTGGGAATAAAGCACAGGAAGTGTCCTGACCCAAGCTCTAGGTTGCCTGGGAGAAGTGAGCCTCCATGGGAGAAGCCTGCAAAGGAAGAAGGTGCCTACAGGACACTGGTCCTGTGGACCAGCTGACAGAGACAGCTGGAGAGCTTGAGATAGAGAGGCATTTGTTCTCTGGGTGCCAGAGAATGGGCAAAGGGGAGAGAGCAGAACAAACTGCACGGCGAGGGTGGGAAGCGGGGAGATGTGAGCTGACATTTTGGGTAGCGACCTTGAGGACAGCAGGCTTGTAGGAGCTCCACTTTTAAGAATTTTCAATGAGGGTGAAGAAAAAAGCCTAAGGGAGATCTAGGCTGCAGATGCCAGAAAGAGAGATCTGGTTGTGCATGTACAGAGACCTGTTCATGGAATGAACCAGGCTCAAGGAGGGACCCTTAAAGCAATTTTCTTAAACAGTTTGTTCAATGGACTGTACTTCCTTTATCCCTCAAATTCAGGGAGTTCTCTAAATAACCTTATGACATAGAAATTCTACTCTCACACTGAGTCTGAAAACACAGCTTCAATTCAGCTATGATTCAGAAATGATAAAGTCAAGTGCCTTAGATGACCCAACACTTCAATCTGCACTCAAAGCCAAGACGTCTTTCTGCAGGGGCTGTGCCCAGCAGGAGCTGGCAGCCTCAGAGCCGTCTGCTTTGGTGAAGAGGTCATTGTCAATGTTTCTCCCTCTTCTCTTCCCCTCGGTCAGCCATAGGCTCTTTCTGGGTCTCAAGACGGAGTCGGACTCTGGTCCATGGTGGGAAACTCTCCACAGTTCCCGCCAAATTTCCTGGAGCAGGTAGCTCCACATCCTTCCACTTCTTATTGAGAAAACGACAAATACATTTTCAAGGGAATATTTTGCATCCAGTTCTTAGTATTTGCTTTACAGATCCTCCTCTCATTTAGCTGTAATTTTGCATAATTTTCCTACATATTTTATTGTAGTAAAATTTATATAACATAACATTTACTGTTTTTACCAATACAGTTCCATGGAATTAAAATATTAATTATATTGTGCAACAATCACAATCATCTGCCTCCGTAACTCTCTTTATCTTCCCGAACTGAAACTATTAAACGTATTAATTCTTCTTCCCTCGCCCTTGGCAACCACTATTTTCTTTCTGTCTGTATGACTCTGATTACTCCAGGTAACTCATGTAAGTAGAGTCATACAGTATTTGTCATTTTGTGACCATAGTTAGCAGAAACTCTTCAGATCCACTCATGTCATAGCATATATTAGAATCATTTCCCTTTTTAAAGCTGAATAATATTCCTTTGTAAGTATACATTTTGTTTATTCATTCATTAATAAACACTTAAATTTCTTCCAATTTTTGGCTATTATAAATAGTGCTACTGTAAATATGAGAGTACAAATATCTCTTTAAGACTGTGCTTTCACTTTTGTGGGAGTATATACCCATATACCCACCAGTGGATCAGTTAGTCAAAGTAACCCTGTTTTTAATTTTTTTGAGGAACTTCCATATTGTTTTCTATAAGGACTTCACCATTTTATATTCCTACCAGTGTTGCATAAGTGTTGCAATCTCCACACTCCCTAGCTACAGGAATATTTTAGTTAAAAAATAATCAATCCATTGGGTGTCACATGGTATTCCATTTGTGGTTTCAATTCTTACTCCCCTAATTAGTGAAGTCATGTGCTCGCTGGCTATTCATGCAACTGCTTGGGAAACTCGTCTATTCAAGTCCTTTTCTCATTTTACAATAACTTTTTTTTTTGCTTGAGTTGTTTATCAGAAATCTTTATATACTCTAGATTGTAATCCCCTATTAGATACATGATTTGCAAATATATTCTCTAGATTAGCTTTCCTTCCCATTGACAGTGTTCTCTGATGCACAGAGGGCTTTAATTTTGATGAAGTCCAATTTATCTTTTTCTTTCCTTTGTGGCTGTGTTTTTGGTGTCTTCATTGCTAAATCTAGTACCATGAAGATTTTCATCTGTGTTTTCTTCTGAGTTTTATTCTTCCGCTTAGGTCTTCTATCCATTTTGAACTATTTTTTGTATACAGTTGGGAAGACAGGTGTAACTTCTTTCTTTTCTGAGTGTATCTACAGTTTTCCTCGCAACATTTTCTGGAAAGATTGTCCTTTCCCCCCTGAACCATCTCAACACTTGTCAAAAACCACTTCCCATATATGTAAGGGTTCATTTCTGGGTTCTGTATTCTATTCCTTTGATTTTTAAGGCTACAGAGTATTGATCACTGCAGCTTGGTGTTAAATTTTGCAATCAGAAAATGTGAATCTTTCACCTTTGTTTTTCTTAGTTGACGTATTATATATGGTGACTTGAAGGGGACTTTATAAGTTTAGTATACTTCTGTAATTTTCTTTTTTTAAGAGCAGAGAACATTTATTGGGGGAAAGAAAACTATATTTTGAGGGGGAAAGAAAGCTTCTGTCTGTCTGCCCGATATTTTTCTAAATATTTAAAAAACCACTCCTCTCTTTATGAAGCATTCCCAGTAACCTCACCAGGACTTTGCTGCCCCTTCCTCTGAACTCTTCAGCTAAAAAGGAAAAGGAGCGTGTGTGTTGATTGACTTCGTGCTGGATGTAATTGTCCTATGTGACTGTGTGTCTTGCCCACATAGTTGTGAATTATTACACATGTGTTCCTGTCTCAGTGCCTGGAAAACGGTCAGTTAAGCAAAAATGACAACCCTGTTAGTTCTCTGAGGTGATTGAGATCTGGCCAAGTGATGCCTAGGTTTTGAATATCAGCAACTGCCTAACGTGCTCAGCTATCTTGAATGAGACCCTTCATGCCTGAATTACATAATCTGTGCTTTCCAAACAGAAAATGTATACTGATTATAGCCATGTTTCCTTGGTGACTCTGTGTACGAAATCTTGGCTTCTATTCAAGAATGCCCTAGGCTGAGTTGATCTGTCCTATGTTAAAGTCTGTTTGTCCCAATTAGGCCATCTTTGGCTTATTTTTCTACTCTCCTTAGTTTTAATGACACCCTACACCATCAGCCCATCAGCTGTGATCTTGCCTGTCTGTCTCTTCTGGTTAATTTATTTTCTAAATTGTAAATTGGGGTTCACATAACAAGGCTCTGGACAAGTAAAAGTAAACAAGTCATGTGTAGGGTCCTATGGGCTCACTGAAGGGTCAGAGGTCTGGGCTTTAAAATATCCACCATGGCTGTTTCAAAGCCTTTGTGCTCCCTCTGACACGCAGCACTGAGTTGCTAAGTCCTCTGGTGAGCTGACACAGGAATTTTAGATGCACTGCAAGAGTGTCTGCCATGTGCCCAAATCAGCTGGTTTAGGATTAAGCCAAAGGTGCAGGGCTTGGGTCTCAGCCTCAGGTATGTGAGAGAGAGCAGTTGGGAAACAGGACATGTAGACAGTAGAACCCTTAGCACCCAGAGTCCTTCCTGAGGAAGAAGTGCAGGACTCTCCCGGGTGCACTCCTCCACCCCACTCTGAAAGAATAATCCTGGGACCCCTAGTTGTGGCATTTTTAGTGGCCTGAGCTCAGGGCAGTCTTTCTCTTCTCCATGAGTGACATCAAAGGAGCTGCCATACATTTCACCCTCAGGGACTGTAAAACTGACCATCTCAGGCTCTTGATCACCCACATCTTCTGATGTGACTAACACTGGCCCTGCTGCCTCTGCCCCTATCATTTATCTGATGAACTCTTATTCTCCTTTAAATATGTGTGAGGGATGCTATCTTTGCAGACTACTTCACTGTCCTTTGGCATCTGCATCCAATGCTAATGAGTGGAACATCTTTCTGAGTCCTGTTCCAGCTGGGGACTATCCTGAACTTCCTTTCAGATGAGTGCCCTACTTCCTGGGGCATGGCATGTCCTGAGCTTATGTTCAGGGCTAAGAGAAGAGGGAAGAGGAGGTACAGGACCACACCATTCACTTCCCTTAATCTAATAAGAGAAGAGAAAATTATCTGCTCCTGCAGTGGACTTCTCACAGTATGCTGTTGATGGAGGTACAGGGTCAGTGGGACCCCTTCATTCCTCTAGCACAGGCCTTGGCCTACGTGGGTAGAGGTGCTTGCAGAGTGACCATCAGACAACTGAATCCTTCCAAAGGCAGCAGTGTCAGAAGGACCATGTGAAGAAGCTTGCCTTGTGCCAGGTGGCTGCGCTCCTCGGCTAGATGGTGTTAGTGTTACTTTCTCTGTGTTAACCTCAAGAGCGTGCAGTAACTCAGGGTTTTCAAAGATCTCAGAGGCCCCCATAACCTCACTGGTGCTGTGAATCAAGGAGATGTTGATGAGGAGCCTGGGCTTAAAGATATTCAGCAGGTTGTCCAAGGCCATCTGCATTTTGTTGTGGGATGCAGCTGGGAGTAGAAGTCAAGCTGCCTACAGAGAGCTTCTTCTCTCACAGAAGAAGATCTTCCCTTGGCCCATGGAACTCTGCCCTTTCCCTGAAGGCCTCCTAAATCCACCCACTTCATCTGTCACAGAATAGGAGAGGAAGTGTGGACCAGGCATCAGAAGAGGTGAACTGTGGCCTTGCCTTGTGATATACAGCCCTGCCTCTTCCTTGGAATATACATCTGTGTCTTTCTGGGCCTTACGTTTCTCCACTGTAAGAAGGGAACGTGGCACCTGGAGGGTCGGGATGGTGGGAGTGTACATGGTGGTGGCTGCTCAGCAAAGGTGCTGGTGCCCTCTTCCCCTCTCTTCCTTTGTCTCCTTCTCACTGAGCAAAGAAAAATTGCATTGAACAGATGATTAAGAAACCTGAACTCCAGCCCAGCTTTACCTGTACTTCCCTGGATCTCAGTTTCACTTGCATACAGCAGGAGTTTGAACACTATGATATCTGAAATCCTTCACAACTCTTGGATTCCAGCATTCTTCTGCCTTCCTCTTTCTTTTTTCCTCTTGCCCCAGTACTTCTGAGGGAGGAAGGAGACCTGTTAAGTGTGTGCGTGCATGGTGTGTATATGAACATGTGTGTGAGTACGCTTGTGTGTGTGAGAGAATCCTGTCACTGGTTGGGTGGTGGTGAGGAGAAAATGGGCAGGACATTACCGTGAGTTAGCAGAGCTCTGAGCTCTGAGCTCCCTCAAAGGCTCAAGGTGCTTGGGGCTGTTTAATCATTAAAGGAAAGGAATGAAGCCAGGAGAACCTCAAAGTCCAGCCTGCTAGGAACCGACACCAATAGATGAGCAAGGAGTCCTGAAGCTTCAGTGAACATGATGAAGACAGAGGCGGTTCTGCACGCAGCCCTGAGCTCTGAAAGTAGCCTGCACACCTATGACATCGTGGCTGTGGTCATCTACTTTGTCTTCGTCATGGCTGTGGGGATCTGGGTGAGTGGGGCCTGAGGCCAGGGCTGCAGAGCCGGGAAAGCAGAAGCACCTCTCATCTCTAGCCAAAGGCAAAGATGGGAAAGCAAGAGCAGACCATGTAACTAAAGGATCTGAGAGAGGGGAAAAAACCCTTCAGAAATCTCCCCACTACGCCCCTGCTTCTTTCCATAGATGAGCAGGCTGAGGGCCAAAGAAGGCTGTGGCTTGTCTGAGGTCACAAAGCAAACCAGAGGCAGATCAGGCCCAGAGACTCCAGCCCTGCCTCCCTGTGTGTGTGCGTCTGCTGCTGCCTTTGGCCTCAGCCATCATTGGCCACCCTGAACCCATTCCTGCCTTTTTCCTCAGCTCAAGATCTGCAACTTGAGAAAAAAAAAAAAACAACCTTGACCAGTCTTCTTTGGGTCACGATCAAGGAGCTAAGAGTCTGCATTCTTAGGGAAGGAAGGGTGCCAGACACATTCCAAGGTCCCACAGCTCTCCACTGATCACAGGAACCAGGGAGCTGTGGGCAGGGCCCAGGAAGCTGAGCTCAGGTCCCAAGTCCAACTGTCAAAGTCTCCTCTCTGAGTCTCAGTTTTCTCTTACGGACATGAAGAATAGGCTGAAGCCTCAGGAAGGGCAGGAAATGTGTGAACACGCACCTGGAGCCTGGCATGGAGGTGGCAGACAATAAGGGCTGTTATCATCACCTGTGCTCTCCTGACCTGCCAGCACCTTCAGACTGCTGCAGGGCAGACTGGACCGTGATTCCTGAGCCTTGGGCAGGTCAGGAACCCTCTCTGAGCCTCCACCCCATCCTCCCTCCCTAAGAGGAAGTCATAGTGCCTATCTTCCAACATTCCTGAAGGCAGAATTGGGCAGACAGGTGCTCAGTAGCTCCCCAGAGGCAGCCTGGGTCAAAAAAGACCAACTGTGCTGTGAATTGGACCAGTTACTCCCTGCCCCAGGGAATTTCTCCTCTGCGAAATGAATTTCCCTGGCCTCCAAGGGCATCACAGGTAAGCCAGGAAAGTTCAAGCACAAGCTTAACAAACATCAGGCCCTACAAGAGTTAGCACTCCCTAATTACTTTCTCCTTTACTTTCCTGGAACTCAAGGATTTCTCCTATCTCAGAGCCAGGCAGGGACCTATTGCCCTCCCTACCAGTAAAGCTTCTGAGAGTTCCCCTTTCGCTGATCAGGGCCAGCCCTGATCCATGTACTGAGAAATCTCTTGTGTTCCTCAAATCTTTCATTTTTGAGAGCACAAACCTAAGAAGCCAAGTACTGACCACCTACTGCTATTTCCAGGGTCCTGGAGAGAGCTCAGTAGTGTGCCTGATAAGAAACCAGGCTAAGTGAAGATCCTAAGCAGCTCCACCAATCCTGCCTAGAACCCATAGAGCCATCCTCCAAATCAAACTGGTCAGAACAGCCACTGTTTGCAGTGTAGGAACCCAGCCAGGAGGAGGAGAAAGGCCAGCTCAGGAGAGGGAGCCACTATGCACCTGAAGCCCACATACCACAGGAGCCTCTGAGAGCCAGTACAGCGGAGGAAAGGATAAGGACATGCTAGCAGCCAGCTGGTACCCTTGCATAGCACTCGACATTCACAAAGACTCTGGCCATCCTTACCTCCTTTGCTCTTCACCTCAGCCCTCAGGGACTGCTGAGAATCGCAAAGATGAAGTAACTCTCCCACTCCCGAGGACCTATAATTTAAAAATGGTGAAGTAGTCAGGCTGCTCTGTCCTGCCTGGGTTGTTAGTCTCTGTGTTCCCATAGTGCCTGCACCCAGGGACAGAAAATCTGGGGTGAGGGCAGAGACTGGAGAAAACCTTGAGAAGTGTTTATGTTTACCATTTCCTTTCCAGGCATCAATCCGTGCAAACCGAGGGACCATTGGTGGTTATTTCCTGGCAGGCAGGTCCATGAGTTGGTGGCCGGTGAGTGCCCTCACACATCCCCCAACCCACATCCCCCTGTCATCTTCTCTTGCCTGAGCCAAGGTACCAGCCTCCCATTGGGGTTCCCAATTTTAGACTCCTCTGTCACCCTAATCTACCCCACACTCCAAGTGGCCTTAATAACACAGTTTGACAAGCCCCACTAGAACCTTCTGAGTGTGGGTCCTAGGCTTTTTCTAGACCCACAGAAATAAAGCTAGAGTGTCCCTACCCTAGAGTAGCTCAGAGCTGAGTGGACAGACGGACTCATGAGCAACATGATTAAAGCTGGGCTAGACAAAACCCTCAGGGTCTCTTGAGAGCTTCAAGGTTGCCCCTGCACTGGGCAGTAGGCTGCATTTTTGCGGGGTAAGCTCCTTGGGAAGGAGCCATTGAATAAATAGTCAAGTGAGGAGATTGAGGAGCACAGTCCCTGACTCCACATGAAACTAATCCCTCAAGTGTTCCCCCTGTTCTAGCCCATCAGACCACCCCACATTTCTACTGGTCCTTGAAACTCAATAGGATGGAAGGAGATGAGCCCTGTTTGGAAAACTAGTAGTGGACTCATCAATTCTGGTGGGAAATGAAGCTGTGTGCACACTCAGGCTGTGTGCACACCCAGGCCTGCCAGCCTCACATTCACTCATACACACTCAGGCACCCATACACATTCCTACAGGCCCACATACACACACACTTGCACACTCACACAGTTTCCTACTCACACACTCACACAATCGCACCCTCACACACACTCCCATGCAGTCTTACACATTTTCTCACACTCATTCTCGCATGTCCTCTTACAGTCACAGTCAACCTCGTGCTTCTTACTCTCATGCTCACACACTCATAGTCACGACCCCGCTCTCACACACTCCCTCCAGCACATACTCTAGAGAACTAAACCCATGGAAACAGCTCTGCTTAGCCAGGGGCTCCCAAAGGGCAGTCCTGGAACCCACGTAGACACCAAGTAAGAAGCTCATCAGGACAGGCTCTTCTGTCTGGCTCAGAAGAAAGCCTAGGCCCTGCTGCCCAAGCTCCAGCCTGCAGAGGGCAGAGTGTCGGCCCAAGTGGGCCTGAAGAAAGCCAGGCTTCCAGCAGGAGCTGTCTCAGCAGGGCTCCCAGGGACCCATGAGCCCCACACAGTAAGTGCAGTGTGCTGCTGCCACCCTTGGGGGACCAGTTGTGAACTGTGCCTCCGACACCTGAAGCTTAATCTAACCTGAGCCAGGTTGGGTGCAGTTCCAACCCCAGATGCCTGAAATAATTAACTCCATGCTCGGTTCAGCACTACTGCAGCAGCGTGCCCAGGGGTCTTTCTTGCCTGTGCTGACGCTGTGCCCCTGCAGAGTGGCCCAGCAAGGCTGTCAGCAGAAGAATAGCAGCCATCCCTGCTCAGAGAGGCCTGCGTGCTCCTCTTCTTCTTACCTTCCACATCTCCTGGATTAGGAGTGGGGCGTCCCGGGGAGGGTGAGATGGGCATGCCTCCTTCCTAGGAGAACCTTCTCTCCCGCAGCAGGGACCATGCACTCTCTCTTCTGGACCAAGGCTCCAGTCCATCCCTACCATCACCGTCGGGCCACCAGAGAGTGAGAGTATAAATGCATGCAAATGTCTGCATGTGTGTGTAAGAGAATATGTGTAAGTATATGTAGGTATGTGCATGCGAATGTATGTATGTGAGTGTGCACATGTGTAAGCATATGTACCTATATGGAATGTGTGTGAATGCAAGTTAGGTGTATAAGTGCATATGTGAGAGCAAGTATACATGAGTGTATGTGTATACATGTGGGTTTTCCTGTGTGAGTACATGTGCATGTGTGAACATGTGTATGTGAGTGTGCAGATGCAAGCAAGGGAGTGCATGTGAGTGTATATGTGTGAATGTGTGTGCGTGCGTGTGCACATATGTGTGTGTGCATGTGTGTGTGTGCATGTGTGTGTGTGCACTTGTGTGTGTGTGAGCAGCACAAGGGACTCAGCAAGGTAGGGTCCCTCGCTTCCACACCTTTGCATGCCCTGCCACTTCCCGTCTGAAAGCCTCAGCCTTCAGACTTCTTACAGCCAGCCCCTCCCTACACCCTGGAAGAATGCACACTGGGAAAGAATGCACCCAGGTTCTTAGATGCTGAAGGTGAGGCTGTGTGAGAGGAAATGATTCTACCGAGGAGACACACGGTACAAAGCTGAGCACCCAGGCCTGCCCCAAGGCCTCCCCAGCCTCAGAGCCCCACCTCTGCCCCCTCCTCCCTCTCAGTGCTGGATTCCATCTAATAATAAGCACTAACATGGAGTAACTTCTTAGCAGGGGCTTTGCACAGTGGTTATGGGAGCCAGACAGCCAAGACTTTAATCTTCACTTGGTCACGTGGAAAAGTTTCTTATCAAGGCCTCGGTTTGCTCAGAAGTAATATGTGGAAAACTGTGATAGTTTTCTGCTACGGCTACAAATACCTAAGATGATTAACTTGTGAAAAAAGGAATATTTCTTTCCACCTTCCCCCTCATCCCATGGCTAGGGAGTAAGAAGAAAAGAGGATTCTCTCCAAGGGTCACCTCCAATGACCTGTGGCTTCTCAGCACCTAACACAGCAATGACAGTACCTGCCTTTATCGGGTTGTTATGAGGATTAACTGAGCTTGTATGTCCAGTGCTTGGCAATACAGTGTAAGTGCTGTCTGCTGTGATCCTTGTCACCATAATTACCATTATCTTCCCTTCTTTAACCTTACATGACTTGGCCTCCCCTCTGAAGAAGAATAGGCAACTCAGAGGCCGGCCTGACATGTGCTCAGCCTCTGGGTCCCTCCTCTGCCCAGCCTTGCCATGGAATCTGCCCTATGAAAGCTGCCTGCCCACCTCCTCCTTCTTCTTCTGCCTGGAGGGTCTGAGGTTGATGCCCCCTGCTGTCCCTGGGTTCCCTTCTGTGCTCACTTTGCCACTTCTTCACTCGGTGGACTGGAGTCTGTGGCTTCATTTGTCCTAACATCAGTTCTTTCCTGTATAAATTTGGAAGGCTCCTCCTTCTGGCCATTTGTGGAGGTTAAATGCATTAGGGCATATAAAGTGCTCGGTGCAGTGTCAAATAAATGTCAACTCCATGCCGTCTCCCATGCTAGTGGTCCTGACCCCAGATCAATTGAGATTAACCTTGACCTCTGACCTTTGATCCTACTTGTGCCTTGCAGATTGGAGCATCTCTGATGTCCAGCAATGTGGGCAGTGGCTTGTTCATCGGCCTGGCTGGCACAGGGGCTGCTGGGGGCCTCGCTGTGGGTGGCTTTGAGTGGAACGTAAGGAAACTCTCATGGCTGCTCCAGGACAATGAGGTTCAGAGCTCACCCCCTCCCCAACCTTAGTGTTGAGATAATCCTTAGAGGAATTTGGGAGGCTTCCTGGTGAATGGTAACTCATCACACAGATGAGGAAAACAAGAGTGGGTGGGTCCTGGGTCCCTCCCTTTCCTACTGAAGGATCTCGCACAGTACTCATTAGCTGTAGGAGGCTTCTCTCTGACGTTGTCTGAAATCTCATTACCTTCTTCTTATTTTCTCAGGCAACCTTCCTGCTTGTGGCCCTTGGTTGGATCTTTGTCCCTGTGTACATTGCAGCTGGTGTGGTCACTACGCCACAGTACCTCAAGAAGCGATTTGGGGGTGAAAGGATCCAGGTGTATATGTCTGTCCTGTCTCTCATCCTCTACATCTTCACCAAGATATCGGTGGGTATCACTCCAAGGGGGCCTGCTTGTCTCTGTGTATTGCCACGGGCTTGAGGCTGACAGGCAGCTCACATTCACAGTTTGGATGGATGGGTGAATGGGAAGATGGAAGGGAGGGAGGAAAGGATGAGAAAGGAAAGGTGGAAGGGAGGAAGAGGGGTAGATGGATGGCTGGAGAGAGAAGGAAGGATAAAAGAAGAGGAGGCTACATCCACTCACTTTCATTGTGTGCTCCTTTGGCACTGGGACAATCAGAGAAGAACGATAAATGTTTTAAGTGCATGACAGCTCTTCTTAAAAAAACAAAGATCACAATCTAGAGTTCATGCTCATTTATCTTTATATTAGTTGGTTCTTCATCAGCAACTATTCATTCAGTGTTAGTTAAAAGAGCTTAATGGGTCCGGTCTGCTTGCAGACTGACATCTTCTCTGGAGCCCTCTTCATCCAGATGGCTTTGGGCTGGAACCTCTACCTCTCCACAGGGATCCTGCTCGTGGTGACAGCTATCTACACCATCACAGGTAGGGCCGAACCTGAACATCAGAAAAAGCTAGAGAGGGAAGCTTCTGACTGGTAGACAGAGAGAAAGATTGAAAGATGGACAACCTGAGTGGGACAGAGAAGATCTGTCCTGAGAGAGAGATAGAGAAGAGAAAGACAGTCAACTGGGGCCAAGGCAATGATACAGGAAATCAAAAAACCAGGGAACAAACTGTGGGACACAGTGGTACAGGAAAAGGGAGAGGAAAGGGGCAGAAATGGGGAATCCATACCAGACTGAGACCAGGAGAGATGTGAAGAGGCACTAGAAAAGACCACCTGCCCCACGGAGAGATTAGGAAGCTGTTGTCTGGGCCAGAGTTATGGTGAGCTGCCCCAGCAAATGCAGACAGGCCCACACTGTTTCCTCCAAAAGGTGTCACACAGGACGGGCACCTTGGGTCACCAGCCTGGGACAAACAGACTTACTTAGGACTATGTTAGCCTTGAAAGCTGGGGGCATTTGGATAGACACCAGTTGGGAGGAGAAAGAATCAAGCATCCCTGGTTGAGCTAACAGCATAAGCAAAGGACAGGATTTGGGTCACTGATGACAGAAACCAAAAGCCATGGCATGATGGCTGTGGCAAGATACTGCCAGAGACAGGAAGAGCCACATGAACACACTGAAGTGTGGCCAGGCTCTGTCCTTCTGAGTGGGGTGCTTGGAAGTGCTAGATATAGAGAAATGCAGGTGACCAGAGCCACTGCTAAGAAGCCACTGTGTCTTTGCTGGCCTGCTCAGTGTAACCAGACACAGGTGGGCACCCAGAGCAGGACCGATGTTGGTGCTGATTGATGTGCCCTCTCTTTGGATCACCAGGGGGCCTCACGGCCGTGATCTACACAGATGCTCTGCAGACAGTGATCATGGTAGGGGGAGCCCTGGTCCTCATGTTTCTAGGTAAGGAAGAGACCTAAATTCACTCACCATCAGCTTTAAATTCTTCCTCTGATTTATTTTTGGCACCTCAATGGCTTACCTGGAACTTTCCTGATCATAGAGTCACGCCCTGTCTCCAAGTCAGGGCTTCCAAAAGGCAGAATTCTCCCTACTTCAAACCAAAAGTCTTGAGCCTGAACCCCATCTCCCTTCCTATCCCCAATCTTCAAGTGGGCTCCAACCTAGAGCCCACGTGGGGCTGGGCACAAAGGCTGGGTGGGTCCCAGGGATGTTCTCTCACTGCATCTCTTCCCACAGGCTTTCAGAAGGTAGGCTGGTACCCAGGCCTGCAGCAGCTCTACAGCCAGGCCCTTCCTAATGTCACAGTCCCCAACACCACTTGTCACCTCCCACGGCCAGATGCCTTCCACATGCTTCGTGACCCCGTGAGCGGGGACATTCCCTGGCCAGGGATCATTTTTGGGCTCACAGTACTGGCTACCTGGTGTTGGTGCACAGATCAGGTACGGTGACCAACAGACATGGCCTGGCCCACCAGGAAGTGGGGTGGCTTCCTGCAGACAAAGTAGGCATTTGGATGCATAAAAAGTGAGCTTAATTTTGAGACTGGAGTAGGGGGACAGTCAGAGACCAAGGTCAGGGCTCACCAGTGGCTGAGCTGAGCTCCTTCCCTGGACCTGGATCAACATCACTCCATTGCTTCTGCCATTCCAGGTCATTGTGCAGAGGTCTCTGTCTGCCAAGAATCTGTCCCATGCCAAAGGAGGCTCAGTGCTGGGGGGCTACCTGAAAATCCTCCCCATGTTCTTCATCGTCATGCCTGGCATGATCAGCAGGGCCCTGTACCCAGGTGAGAGTGAGCCTTCTCTCTGGGCCTGGGGAGTCAGGACTTGGGAGGGGTTTCCAGAGAAGGTGTTCCTGGGCAGGGTGGACCAGGGAAGCAAGCTTTTTCTATGAAGATCTCATTCCAAGCATTTAGAACTTAAAAGCCATTAAATAAGTATTTCAACAGAGTAAATTCAATGTTATTTCAAAATCTTCCTTCCTCTTAAAAAAAAGCAAGGCATTCTTGACCCCTTCCAAGAATATTTACTTTTATCAATGTATGTCATAAAACTCAAAGGAATCTATCCCATGTTGCAGAGCAGTATGCATCACAGACAAGAAATTCACCAAAGAGCCAAACTACTTGCCCATTGACCTTTTAGACAAGGTCAGAATTTCCGGTGAAAATTTTCCTGTAGTGCCAGAAAGCAAATATTGGGCCATCCTGAGAGGGACAGGATCATAACTCCAACTACTGCGCTGTCTTCTGCAGATGAGGTGGGCTGTGTGGATCCTGATGTCTGCCAAAGAGTGTGTGGGGCCCGCGTGGGATGTTCCAACATCGCCTATCCCAAGCTGGTCATGGCTCTCATGCCCATAGGTGAGTCCCATCTTGCACACTCCACTGTCTACTCCCACCTGGACCCCTCTGATGAGGAATTGTGCTACGGATGGAAGGGAAGAGGGAAGAGTTTCTGTACCCTGCATGTTACACACACACACACAATCACACTTTCCCAAGCCTTTGTAAGGTGTCTGTTTTTGCCTGGTGTTGAAGATGTGGAGGGAAGAGGCAGGTCCAAGCCCTCAGACTTCACACAGTGTCTAAGGTACCTGTGCTCAGTAAGGTACCTTACAGTGAAAGGTAACTTGGAAGTAAGGGCACAGCACAGGAAAAAAGCAGAGCAGAGGCACAAAGAGCATTTCACACAGAGCCAGAGGGCATAGAACATGTTCTAAGCAGGAGGCATTGTGAGTGCCAACACCCAGGAGTGACAGCCGAATGAGAGGAACCCAGTGTAAACGCAGTGGCAAGGAGCAATGAAGATGACCTTCCTGAGAGGGTGCCACGGCCCAGCCTTGTTCTGCAATGGATTCTTCTCTCTGGGGACAGTAGAGGGCACTGAGGGTGGAGGCCAGAGCAAGACGGTGGATTTGTGCTTCAGAAGAACCACTCTGATGGAGGACTCAGCAAGGGTACAGGCTCTGGCAGGACAGGGGTACATCAGGGAGATGTCTGCAGGTGGCCAGGGGCATGGCACTGGTGGTTTCACCAAGGGATTGACCTTAGAGATGGAGACAGGGTATTTAAAGATGTGTGTGAAGCTGTTAGCAGGATTGGGTTTACTGTATTTCAGGGGGCAGACGAGTCAAAGCAGGCTCCCGGGCCTCCAACTTAGAAGGCAGGTTTACAACACTATTAAGATTGAGGAGATGAAAGGCAACAGATGAGTGGGCCCATTCCCTCCTTATGGTAAAATGAGAAGTAAATCAAGGACACAGTGGAGATGGTGGGAGGCCAAGCTAGACAGACCAGTCTCTGAAGTGAGACCGAAGAAGGATGGGGAGAGAGGAGAGCCAAGGAAGGGGCCTAGGGTCCAGGGTTCTGCTGGGAGCCGGGAGGCTTTAGTAACCGAGAGGGAGGCAGAAGGCCATAGGAAGGTGAGCACTTGTGTCTAGAACCTGAGTCCAAGATAGCTGTGAGGCTTCCAGCGTGACACTCAGGATGTGGTTAGATACATGGACTTTGTGGTAAAGAGGCTGAAGCGGGACCGGGGCAGGAAGGCATCTGTCCAGGTGAAAAGCAGGCCCAGAACATGCATGAAATGCATCCAAAGATCATCCATGTAGCGGGTTATTTGTACAGCCAGGAAACAGCCCCAAGCTTCTGCTTCCTTGTAGGACTTTAGCCGGACATTGCAAAGCGGTGGAACAAAACCCTGAAAAATGAGAAAGAGACACAAGGGCCAGGGATATAACTCAGTGGCACCACGCTTGTCTAGCAAGCACAAGGTCCTGAGTTTCATTCCCAGTATGAGAGAGATAGATTGGGGTGGGGGTGGGGCGGAGAAAGAGAATACAAAAGAAGAAAAATTTTTAAAAGGCACTAGCCACAGCCTCCCTCCTCAGCTCCAAGACTCCGCTGATGGTCACTTGCTGTGAAGACAGACTTCGTTTTCAAAACTGCAGGAACCCTCACAGATCACTCAGTATCCTACACTCATGGTGCAGATGAGGACACTGAGGCCCTGGCAGGGCTGTGAGCTGTCCAAGGCCACAAGGCAAGGGAGAGGCAAAACACGGCCAGAAACTGGCCAGGAGCTTTCCAGGCTCCTGATTCCTTGTCTGTACTAGAAAGGAACCGTTTCCCCACCAGCCCAGCCCAAAGTCCTGGCTCTGCAGCAGCAGCCCCGCCCAGGCGGAGCTGGTCTTTAAGACCTGCTGTCTCTCATATCTTGTGTTGCTTACTTTGCTCTCATTGCGGGGACAAAATACCTGACACCCAAAATTGGGGAAGGAAAAGTTTATTTAGCTCACAGTTGGTGGATTTTAAGAGTCTGTAACCAGCTGGCTCCAAGGCAGGGTGGCAAGGCACAGGGGCAGCACTTCAGGGTGGCACTAGACAGCAAAGCAGTAAGAGAAGACAGGAGGAAGACAAAGACTGTGTTCCTTCCTCATATTCTACGCAGGGCACCCCACCCAGGGCAGGTGTAGCACTGTGAGTCACAGAATTTCCTTGTCCTCCTCTTGCACACGATGAGGATGTTTACAAAATAAAGACCCTTCTAAACTTCTCAAGTTGGCACAACGTATCAACCATAACACACGTCGTCTCTTGCCAGGTCTGCGGGGCCTGATGATCGCAGTGATCATGGCGGCCCTCATGAGCTCCCTCACCTCCATCTTCAACAGCAGCAGCACCCTGTTCGCCATCGACGTGTGGCAGCGTTTCCGCAGGAGGGCCACAGAGCAGGAGCTGATGGTGGTGGGCAGGTGTGTGCGCCAGGCCTTGCATCTCCCGGGGGCGGGGGCTCCCCTCTGCCCGCCCTGGGTTGCCCCGGGAGAGGGGCTGGGGTTGGGCCTGAAGCAGCACCCAGGGCACTGCATGACCTCAGCCGCGCTCTGCCTCCAGAACACTCCTCCCCTGCAGAATAACAGGGAGAAGGCACTCTTGCCCGGCTTTGCACTCTGCCTTGCACTGCATCAGTGGGGTGATTGAGAGATGACAGAGCACTTGAGAAGTGAGAGGTGGAGAATGTGAGTCAGAGGAAAGAAACTCACCCTGGGGCCTTTTGGGTCAACTCTTCCTGCCACCCCAGGATAATGGCGGTGTTTAATCCAATCACTCAGGCTCATTCCAGATACACACCTCGGGCCACATCCTTGTGCTAGGAACCAGGAGAACCGGGGGAGGTTCATATCCTGATGAGCAGGACAGAAATGGGCATGTTACACAGCATTAGCACGGCACCTGCCTCAAGGGAGATGGTCACAGCAAAGTTGTCTCCAGATGATGCAGAGCCTTGAATGTTGCATGACAGAACTTGAATTGTACCTTGTAGGTATTAGTTACTCTTTTAAAATCATAACTGAGCAGTTAATTTGTCTTGTTCTCCATAGGCTGGGAATTTAGAGTCTGTGTAGAGCTACGAAGGTCTTTGTAGGATCTCTGCCTCATAGTTTAAGGCTCCCTACTCAGGCCTCTAACTAAGGCTATGCACTCTTGTTTTGACGGGTAGGAACTGAGCTCAGTCAGTTTGCTCTTGGAGTCTCCCTGCCTCTGCATTTGCCATTCCTATCATCTGGTGCCTTCTGCTGCCTGTTCATCTCTGCAGCCCAGCCCTAGCCACGAGCAGCGAGTCCCTGAGATCTTAGAGTAGGACAAGAGGAAGTTGAGACACGTGGGTAATTGCTGCTTTCTTGGAGCCTGAGAGAGGAAAAATAGGGGAAAAGAAGTGAGGACAAGTGTGCATAGATTTAGGCACGTGTATCAGCAATCAATGGGATTCGGTCGCCATCTCCTGGCAACATGTATTATTGCATCCAGCACGTCCAAGAAAAAAAAAATGTTTCAAAACAAATTGTGCATCTCCAAATTCACACCTCCAGAGCCCTTTGGTGATTTAAGCCCGAGTAAGGATCAGTTTAAGTGGATCGAGCGGGAAGGTAGGAAAGGTCTGAGCTGAAGGAGCCTGGGGAAGGGAGAAGTCCCAGGACTGGGACCATAAAGGGGCTGTGTCCTTCAACAGCCTGGAGGTCAGAGGAGGAAATATATCCCCAAGCAAGGCTGAAGGCCTTTCCCTAGGTCGGGTGCAGTGAAGCTGTGGGTTAGGGTGGACGGCATGATCGCCAAGAGTCCGGTATGCACATAACAAGTCTAAGTCTGTAGAATTCTGACTGTCTCACATTCAGAAATTCTGATTTCTGGAGTGTTGACAGTCGGAACTTCTGCGCCTGCACCATAGTATTTGGGATTATGACTTTCTTGCTTGTGACCCAGAGGCCTCTCTTGTCCCTTCTGGTTCCCACGCATCACCTTCAGGACACCCTGTGCCGTGTGCCACGCCACAACCCCCTGGCACCTGTGCTCTCCTGCAGGGTGTTTGTGGTGTTCCTGGTGGTCGTCAGCATCCTCTGGATCCCCATCATCCAGAGCTCCAGCAGCGGGCAGCTCTTCGACTACATCCAGTCTGTCACTAGCTACCTGGCACCGCCCGTCACTGCTCTCTTCCTGCTGGCCATCTTCTGCAGGAGAGTCACAGAGCCTGTGAGTGAAGCCTTTCCATCTCTTGCCCCCAGCTAAGGTTCTGGAGTCCTGCTCTGTCCCTCACCTGGTCTCCATCTGTGGGAGCAAATCCACAGCCCGCTCTAGGATTCCATCCTCCTGACCCTAGAGTCAGGCCTGGATTCATTCACTCACACAGAAAACACTGAGCAATGGGATTATGGCCACTCGGGGGGTACAGTGGTTTACAACATTCACATAGGTCTGTCATGGCTGGGCCCTCAGAATCGAGAGATGATTAAGTAACCAATAACGATAAAGCAAAAGGGCTACTGAGAGATTGAAATGCACAAATTCTAACTTATGAGTTTCCTGGAGTGAGGTCAGGGAAGGCTTCCTGGAGGAAATGGCATCTGAGCTGAGACCTGCAGGGCTAATGGGAGGAGGAGATTGTTCCACACAAGAGGAGCATTCATGTGAAAGTGCAGGACAGACCAGAGGTCTCTGACTCTGTAGTGGTCTATATATAAATCAAATAATAGAATGAGAATGTTGTTCGATACCCACACCAAACACAACAGCAACAACAACAACCAAAAAACAGAAGGAGGATGCTGATAACCAAGTGTGAACTCTCACAGGGGTTGGCCCCACATGCACCATTCACACAACTGCCCTGAAACTGACAGAAGCCTTGGAGAAAGCTAGAAGACCAGAGGCTTTCTTGTTTCTCAGGATAGACTAGGGAAGACAGCCCCAATCTGCTGGCTGTACCTTGGGACATCAAAGTAGTCTCTGGACTGATGTGAAAATTCGCAAGACCGATGTCAAGGTCATTGCGGAGGGGATCTTAGAGATTCCCCCTGGACAGCCTGGGTAGGTGACGTGTCATGTTTGCAGAATCTAATCTGAGTATGTGAGGTGTCTCCTGTTTGCAGGGCCCAGTTTCTCCTGCATGGTTCTGCTCATTTTAGACTGTTGAAGTCAGAATTAATAGCTCATTTTCAAAATACAGGTCATCTATACCTATTAGGGAAGGGTAGTGTAAAGACAATGCAACTATAATAAATGTGAAGTGCCAGAGATTTTCTTTGTTATGATAAATCCAAATTCTGACTTAACATAACAAACAGCTTTGAAGGGGATCCAGGTATTCTTATCACAAAAATAGTCCATTCTATTTGAATATGATACAACTATCACGTAGTACTAATGAACTTCTTTTTCCTTGCACGCAAGATATTTCCGACCTAGTAAGGCCAAGCCATTGGCTCAGAGCCATTTAGAAAGGAGCCAGATTCAAATTCTAGGCCACCTCTGAAGCTGATAGCCTTTTTAACGCCCTGCTTTGTTGGTGTTTTCAGTTAAGACAAAGCCTCAATATTGCCAGGAAACTCACCAAGAAGGACTTGGCCAACACTGTAATCAATCAGTGGAGGGAGCTTTGGGGAGAGCAGGTTTTAGCTTCCTGGTGTCCCCTCCCTCCAATCTCACCCCTACCCATGTCACCCTCTCTCCGTAGGGAGCCTTTTGGGGCCTCATGTTTGGCCTGGGAGTGGGCCTTCTGCGCATGATCCTCGAGTTCTCTTACCCAGCCCCAGCTTGTGGTGAGGTGGACCGGAGGCCAGCCGTGCTGAAGGACTTCCACTATCTGTACTTTGCCCTGCTTCTCTGTGGGCTCACTGTGATCGTCATTGTCATCATCAGCCTCTGTACGACACCCATCCCTGAGGAAAAGGCAAGTGGTGCTCTCATGATGAGCACCCATCCACCCTACGCGCTCAGGGTCTGCAAATCCACCACTGGCCTTTACCCTCATGAACAATGGTGTCTCCTGCTGCCACATAGACATCCTTGGGAGCTGGGGCTGTTTGGAATGTGAATTTTCAAGTGAAAAGACACTCATTCAATTTAAAAATTACTCAGAGGTACACACTGTGTACCAGGCACTGTGATAGGCTTACAAAGACAGATGGTTCCTGTCAGCAATTGTCCTGGGGCAGGGAGGAACAGACTCCAGCACCCAACATTAATATGCACAGGGAAGGTGCAGGGGTCCCAGGCTCAAGGGGAGGGGCCAAACTCAGGAGAGAGGTGGTCTTCACCTGGGGCCCATGAAAGGGAAAAGTAGAGGTTTATTTAATGGTCAAGAAGCAAGTACACAGAAGAGAAACAGAGTGCTGAATCAAGAGTTCCATCTTGCCTGCCTTGAGCTGACAGATGTACCCATAGAATGTTGAAACCAGTCTTAGGAAGTTCCTTCCCCCAACCCAGAGTTTGAGTTAGTTTCCTAGGGCTTCCATAAGTGAAGACCATAAACTGTGGCTTAAGCATCTCGGAACTCTGGAGGCTGAAAACCTGAGCCCAAAGCGTCAGGAGGCCCGGTGTGTCCAGGAGTCCCTTTTGTGTCTTCACATGATCTTTGCTGTGTCTGCCTGAGACCTAAACTCTTTTTTAAGGACACCAGTGATGATGGATTAGCGTCCATCCATATCCCCCCATTTATCTTAATTATGTTTATACGGTTTCTATCTCTGACTGCGGTTGTGTCCTGGGGTACTAGGGACTAAGACTTCAGTACGTGAATTTCCAAACCTTGAGGTTTGCACGCCTGCAGGCACTGCCTTCAAACGTGATCTCCTGCTGCTGAGACCTCAAGGTCTCCACGTCTGCCTTGTCATGCTTCACACTGAGGTTTCTCCTTGATCCTGTCCTCTGGTGACTGCCACCTCCTTCTCCCATCAATTGTAACCTTGGTGAAGAGCGGTCTCCATTCCCACCACTTGTCTACTTTGCAACCCACCGTGCTCTGGTGTTGTCCCCAGAAGGCCATGAAATTGTCCTCATTGAGGTCACTTACAACTTTGGGTTGGTAAAAAATCAGTGGTCATGTCTCTTCCTCTGCCTTCCCCACTGCCTGTTGTACCGGAAGACCTCGCTTCTAGTACTTCTAAGATGCATTTTCCTCCTGTTTGCCTTTTCCTACACTTCTGATCACTCTTCTGACTTCGAAGGCTTTTTTTTCTGCCCCCTTAAACATCATTTTTTCTTAGGAGCCCGTATCTGCATATAACCCTTCTGGCTCTCAATGCCTGGGGCTGCCAATTCAACAACTTTCTGTATAAAGCAACACTCAGTTGTCTATCTCCAGCCCAAATCCCTCTCCCAAGATTCAAACTCCACATCCATCTGTCTCTTAGTGACATGAAGTCAAGGTCTGTGTGATGCTACTGACTCACAGTGTGAGAAGAAAGCAGGGTTTATGGAGAGATGTGCACAAGTAAAGAAGCTGCCCAGGCTCTCACAGAGAGGCATGCCTGGCCCTGGCCCCTCTGGACACAATTGCAAGTTGGAAGTTGGGACGGGGCGGAGATGATTGTTACAAAGGCCTAGCCAGGGGAAGAGCCCACTCCTGGCCTCTGGGGAAGAGAGATGTTTCAGGGCCCAGGGCTCACGGCTGACTCTAGTGCCACTCACATCAGCTGGAGAATTTGTGTGCTTTGTCTGCAGGGCAGACATAAAGAGAGGAAAGGGCAACCTGAGGGACACAGATTTGTTTCTCTTCACTGGATGTCTCCACTTTAAGCTGATACACCCCCTCATCGTCACCTTGTAGTTATGTGTGTAGATGTTCCCTTTCTCTTCTCTCAGCCTTTTTGATAAGCACCAGAATCTTCTTCTATGCTGAGCCTTCTGTCCCTGGGAGGGACCCTGCTATCCTCTGGTCATCCATGGCTGGAACTCAAGAGCATCCAGAGAGGCCCCCCCCAACCCCCAGCTCATTCAATCAATCACCTCGTGCTGCAGATTTTACCTCCCTAGGATCCCTTAAGACTGCTCCTCCCACCCATTTCCTCATGCAATCTTTCTCACTTTACCTGAATATGCCTCCTGGCCTCTGACCCCAGCCTGATTCTTCGTACACTTTGCTGTGGCTCTGAAGCCTCCCCTGCATCGGGCCTTCCTCCACAGCAGGACTTTCTCCAAATGCACTGGTTCCAAATGGTATTTTCTCTCTCTCTCTAGCTCACTCGCTTGACCTGGTGGACACGAAACTGCCCCACCTCTGAGCTGGAGAAGGAGGCCTGTGAAAGCCAGAGCGAGAGGGAGAGTGTGCCAGGGAGGTCTGAGAGACTGGTCCAGGAAAGCCTCTCAGGAAGAGTCGCCCCAGGGAACTGCAGCCAGGGCCCAGAGCAGCCCGGAGGTAGGCTGAGGGGTTTCTGGGGAGAGTGTGCCACAGAGGAGCAGTAGGGGTGGTCACCATGTCCTGGGTGTCCCACAGTCCCTCTCAGGGGTCATTGGAGATGGAGGTCTCTGAGACAGCCCCCCAAATATTTTTCCACATGACTATTGAAATGTTTGCAAATTAAGACAGCTGAGTATGGCAGACAGGAGCCAAAATATTGCCCTCACTACCAATAACATGTCAGTGGGAAGGTTCATTGCATATCAACTAATGTTAGACAGAGGTGCCCATCTAGTCACCCACAGATCGGACAAGAACACAGCCAGCCTCCCGTGAGGATGGGTGGGGCTGAGACAGTCCGTGTGCCTGTGGAGTTCCCTTCACACAGAAGAAAATGTCAACATGATACAGAAACACCCTTGTCCCCACCCCTACTGACTTGTTTCTTTCTCATTGGGCTTAACATTCCTGCCTGTCATCTCAAGGAGCATAGCTGCCCTCATGGGAAGAGCACAGCCAAGTGTGCCCTCCTGAAGTTGCCCAGTGCAACCCCCACTTCTCTGAGTGTCTCCTTGAAATGCTGATGGCCGTATAAACAGTCTCCCAAAGATTCTGAAATGCCTTAAGATAGCACATTAACTAAATTACTATACTGTTGGATGTCTTTTGGACACTACTCAGTTGTAATCTTCCTGTAGGGAGATTAAATAACAATATTAAGGCATTCTAAAGATAGGAGAGCATAATAGAGATTTTTCAATTATAGTGTTCCCAAGGAAAATTTTTAAATCCAAAAAGTAACATACAGTTTACAGGTTTAAGTCCAAAATCAATTTATCTTGGCCTTATAAATTAGAAATTCAAGGAAATTTAAATTCTACATTTCTTTCCTGCTTCAGTTAGATAGTGTCCCAGTGCCTGGTTGGAGTTGGGGTTCTCTGGACAGCTACTTTCTCCCATCAGACTGGGTGAGCTGTCTATTCTCTCTCCCAGTCTTTGGAGCACCAAACTTCCCATAATTCCAGTGGGTTAGGTGGACAGACAGAGTTATGGAAGCATCTTTGCTGGACTTGCATGGTTGGCAACACTCTGCCACTCTGTCCTTGTGCTTTTGCTAGTTTCTGGGACCTGTGCTGTCCCCAAGGCCCAAGGGGTTACCACTATTCTTGGAGGCCCTTACTCTAGACAGCGATAAGCGTAGCATTAATGATGTCCCTAACTGCAAAACCTCATCAGGACCTAAAGCTCAAAGCTTCTTGCTCACGCTGCAACAGTTAAGTCCGTAGTCCACTATAAAAAGCTGTAGATAGCAAGTGTGAATTCTTACAAATTTGTCTGATCAAAACACACTTGGACTGACTTCCGAAAGCACACCCATGACTGGCTCACCCCCGCTCCCAGTCTTAACAGGGCACCAAGTAGTTAAGGCCTATTTTCCTCTGCAAAATGTAGCCCTTGTCTCTTTGACAAGCTTCATGGCGCATGCGCCAGGTGTGTGTGTGTAGAGGGGGCTCAAAACTACTTCCTGCCATCACTGCAAAGACCCAGTTCTGGCCGCGTCTAAAGCTTGTGGAATGGGAAAAGAAGCCTGTGAGCCTGAACTTAGTACAGGAAAAGCAGCTAACCGGAGAGGGAAGAATGACTTCAACATGTCTCCTGGAGACAAAGAAGAGGTAACAACTTGTACTGCCCCCCTGGAAGCCAGAGCTAGACTGACTCACAAAGACTCAGAGCACCAGCCCTCTTCTCTGCTACCCGCACTGCAGGCCAGAGCCATTCCTAGAGGAGCAGGGAAGGATGAATGCTCCCTGTGGGTAGATGCACCCAGGGAAGGAAAAGGAGGCACCTGGAGGACCAGAACCCACGCCAAGCCTGACCAGACATCCTGCCACAAGAAAGAAGCTTTATTGGGTGGGAGTGGGCTGCCTTGTGGACCACGACAGCCACTGTTTGGCTTGGGGAAAGGGTTTTAAAGGGTTGTTCTTGGGAGGGGTCTCTGCGGGTGACCCAGTTGTGAGCAGCAGAATGTGACAGAGTCATCATCAGCTACCCTCCTGGGTAGGGTTGACTTTTGAGGCTGGAACAGTTCTGGAAAGTTTCTTTTCTTGCAACCCAAGCATGAATACGCTCCGGGGGGAGGCCGACCCTTTAGCACTGAGTCAAAGATAAAGCCTCAAGAAAGAAATCTACGCTCCATGTCCCCTTCTATCACAATCCCCAGTGCAGAGGGCAAGCCTACCTGCTGTGGGAGAAGTCCTTCCTGCCCTGGAACGAAGTGAGCATCAAGAACCTGGAAGACCCACATCCACTCCTCTAGAGGCCTGCAGGTTATATAGGTCATGCAGTCTAATTTCGAGTCTTAAAAAATTTAAAGGACAATAAATAGATCTGAAAGATATATCTTTATATATATCTCCTCGGTCCTAGATAGGTGCACATTTATTGAGTTGTTGCACACTGATTTATACCTACTTGGTGATGTGGGCTCATTGCACCTCAGAGGACCACTGTGAGAATCTAGGGAGGAGGTTTGGATTGGCTTTAAAATGATAATTCTCAGCGCAGACATCACTTGATAGAGATCTCAGGGGAGCTTTGCAGCCAAGTCACCTGAATTAGCTCTCCCCTCTTTTGTGAGCCATTCTTGACCTTGGTGCTGGACAGTCCTCGCAGAGGACGAAGTTCAGCCTGAGGGTACCCAGGCTTCCTGCGTGTCTGAAATTGTGAGGCTGCACTGAACTCACCAAGTTCCATATTTCAGTGCTATTCAGATCAAATCCTCACTCTTGGCCATTGCTTTCCATCTCCATGGAAGGCACTTTCCATTAATTTTATGCTTAATACACTGTCTAACTTTAAAGTCCTTAAAAAGACTTGCTTCCTTTACTGCTTCTTTTAAACTTAGTGTTAGGAGCAGTGCTGCCTGTAGCCTTGCTGTGGCGCTCTGCACACTGGGGAGCTTTCCTCTCTGTGACACTACATTTACCAGTGCCTACCTCTCTGCTCCTGCACTGAAAGCTGGTAAAATGCTATCAAATCTCCACTCTCCTTTAGTGCTCGGAACAGCCCTGAGAACAGGCATATGTCACTGAAGCATTTGAGGGAGAAAGAACATGTTGCTCAGAGGACTGGTGAGACTTACAGATGGGCACACAGTCTGCTGAGGTCAGAGCTGGCCCTGGAGCCACGTTTCTGACCTCTGGCACAGTGCCCAGCCCCACAGCAGGGCAAAGGTCTGGTCTGTGTGGCTTGAAGGTCCCCTGCCTCCTGAAAGAGACAATGCCCCTCCCCTCCATTGTCATTCTGGACTTAATCTCTGAATTGTGGTGAATTAGACTACCCTCTCTCCCCAACACCCTGTCCCGCTCCATGCCACAATGACGTGCTCCTGTGTGGTAACCATTACTATGCTGCGGCCAAGGCCAGAGCTCAGCTGGACCTGTGGTTTGTGCAAAAGGCCCTTCACACTCCCCCCTTGGTTTTTTCACCATTTCCTTCCCGCTCTCTCACCTCTTCCCTTTCCTCACTCTCTCCTCACCTCTCCCCTCCTGCTCCTCTTGTTTCTGGCTCTGTATCCCCAGTCTCCCGCAGGTCCTGGGGAAAGCTGCTGTGGGGTTGGCTCTGTGGGCTCTCTGGAACCCCAGCACAGGTCCTGAGCCCAGCAGAAAAGGCATCTCTGGAACAGAAGCTGACCAGCATCAAGGAAGAACCACTCTGGAGAAGCATCTGCAACATCAATGCCATCCTCCTGCTGGCCATCAACATCTTTCTCTGGGGCTATTTTGCATGACTCCACAGACTCAGCTTCAGCCAAAACCAGCTAAACACAGCGCAAGCCCAGTCGGGTGCAGAGACAGGCTCTCTTCCTACCCTGCCCTGAACTGGAGACCATGGAGGCTGAGCATGGCAGAGATCCATGGAGCGTTAATCTGACATGTTCCACAAGTGGAGAATACAAGGCCCAGAGAGAATTCTGGGTCTGCGCAAGGCCACAGAGCAGCGCTCATTCTGGGCCTCCCAACTCGGGATCCTATACCACTACACTGCCTTACGTTCTTACCTCGTAAAGAGCTTCAACCCTCTTCCTGAGTTTATTCAGGAATCTTTACTGTACATGTGACTTGAGGTTAGAAAAATGGAGGATACAAGAAAGATAACAGGAAAAAAATTTGTGAAACTCCAAGTGCACCTTTCTCCTCCACCTCCCCTAACCTCTCTTTCTCTAATTTTCAGCCCCAGGTAATCTATAGCATGAATCTACCAAGGACAGACTTACATTTCCATCGGTGGCTCTGTCAGAGCTGTTAGACCAAAAAGAATGAGGGTCAAGGGTGGCACTGCAGGGTGATGGCAGGTGGCATTTAGAGCAGGCAGCTCTTGGACAAGGCACTCTGATGGGCACTATTTAAACGTTGCTTCTTCCTACCTTCAAACCCAAACCTGTGTCAAGTCTCCATGAGGAATCTAACAGTCCAGTTGAGAGCCATAACTGTGGAAAGGAAGAGGACTCAAAGCCTTGAAGGTCAACCCTGCAGGGTCAACAAGGACAGCTTCAGAGCCACAGCATGGGGTGCTTTGCCACTCCTTTTGCCACCCAAACCTCTGCCACCATGGAATACATTGAAACCCATCTAAGTATTGGACAGGAAGGTGCCCAGCCAGGAAGCTGTCCAGTGTCCCAAACTGGGTTAGGGTCCCACTCTTGTTTGCATAGCCCCATGGAACAGCTTCTACAAGGTACTGGTCATACCAGCAGTTGTGTTTTCTCCCCCTAGATGGTGTACTCCAAGGAACAGGCACCAACTACTATGTCCAACTTGACTATGTTTCCCAAAATAATATATACCAATAAATGTTTGTTGAATGAATAAATTGTTCAGTGTCCTTTTGTGTTTTGCACTGTGGCTGGCAGGGCAGACCTAGACCTGCTCAGGAGTCACTGGAAGGTGGAGAAGAAAAATCTGAGTGTCAAATGTCTAGGGTGTCACTACAGCCCGGGCCCTCTGGCAGACCCAGATGGAAATGGTTCTCCATTCCTTGAGCTCAGTGGGCTTGCTCAGTTAAAGGCGCACGCAGGGGTGGGGGGGATTCCTATAAGCCTTTTGTTCATTTTCTCCTAATAGAATATGAAAGCTTTGGACCATCACTCAGTGTGGGCTGCGCATATGTTTTAAAGTCACATGTATCTGATGAAGAGAACCCCAGAGCCGCCTATGCTAGTGCGTTCCCTCCATTCCTCTTGGTTCATTGCAGAGCCGCTCTGATGAGGTCTCCCTGGGGAGCAGGCTGATGAGCCCTATGCTTCCCCATCGCCCACACTCAGACCTCTGACCCCATGCAGCCTCACCCCACTGGGCCACAGGGACTGCAGGCACCACTGAGCACTCTTCCCTCTTATTGGCCACACTTGTCCATATCCACCGTTTCCAACCAAGGAACGTGAAAATAACTCAAAGGAATCATTTGACCCCAGATTATGAGCTCACTCTTTACTAAACTGTTTCTTTCTTAAAGGAATAAGTCACAAAACAGGAAGCTGCCTCAGGAAACATGAATTTGCCTAGGAGAAGTGTAGGAAGACTAATATCATGGGTAATTTTAAGAAACCCTCACATTTATCTTATGAAAGAGCATTTCCACATCCGTTTTCTCATTTGGTTTTCCAAACCATTCAAAGATATTAAATCCTCTACTAATGAAGAAAAGAACCCCGAGGTGAAAGGATTTGCTCAGATGCTGTCACATTGGAGCCCAACTGGTCCTCAAACTCAGACCTCTGACCCCATGCAGCCCCACCCCACTGCATTGCTCATGTGAGCAGCACGCTTTGCTGCTGGATTCAAATGCTATGCTTTCCCAGCTTAGGGAGTAACATGAAAGTCAACGATAGCTCCAATAGAGCTCAGCCAACAAAGTAAAGCAAGAAACTAAGGAAATGATTGCAAAGCATTGCAGTGAAGACTGAAACTGAAGGAAGAAATACACCTACTTAAGGAAAAAGGAGAAAGAGATGAAGAATTACCTGGTATAATTGGAGACTAATTCATGAAAAAGAAGTGCACATTAAATTTTGACATTTATTCTATTTTTGAACAGAGTTAAACAAAATGAATTCTAAACCAACAAACAACCAACACCCCAGAAAAACAACAGCAAAACAGTACAAAGCAAGACATGTAGCTGAGAAAAAGCCACTGGGAAAGCCTCTCATGGGACAGTGACAAGGACCAGAAGGAACATCTCAGGCCCCACACTGAGCTGAGGATGAGGCCATGCTTGCAGAAGAGGCTGTGCCTAGAGGTGCTGGATCCCTTCTCCCACACAGCTCCTGGCTTCCTGCCTGCAAATGCATCTTGCAAACAGTCAGACTCCCTCAGAGGTAGTGGCAGCTGGCCCTGAGCTGGATTCAAATGGAGGTGAGTGGGCAGAGGATGCAACCACAGCACAGAGAGCAGGAAAGAGTGGGGTCAGGTCTCCAGACTTTCCAAGATGGACTAAACCTGTAAGTGATGCAGATGAGGGTACACTGACCTGAGGGTGGAGAGAAAGGAAAACACAATCAGAAGAAACAGGAGGAATTCCTTCTATTTCAGTCACCCATCATGGTCCAGGAGGCACAGGGAAAGGACAGAGCTCTTAGCAAAAGCGACCACAGCAACAGGAGTCCACAGGCATTTGCTACTGTAATAGGCCAGTAAGAGGTGCCACGTAGGCACTGCCCTGCTGGAGGTCGGGAGTTTTAGGTGTACTAGGAGCTGGTGAAGCCCAGTGTTCTTCTAGATTGTCCTTGGAAACAGTGTCTCATTTCCTGCACTGCTTCTGTGCCTGTGACTCAGAGGTCCCCTGGCCGGGCTGGGAAACACAGGGTGCTGCTGCACAGGGAGAGAAGTGGCTCAATGCACCCAGGGAATGGTGTGATCACACCTGTCCTGTGTCCTGCTGCTGCACCTTCCTGGGTCCCCACTGTCTCAGTGAGGTGGGATCTTTCCCAGGTCCACAGGTAACTGGGCAAAGTTTTAGTGGTGAGCCCTGCCATGGTCGTGGCAGGGTGTCCAATAAAACACTTCGGTGGGTTTCCTCCTGGACCCTCACTGCAGACTTCTCAATGAAGTTCCACAGATGCCCTCTTCCAGCTACAAGCCAGCTTCCACATGTGGAAGGGCTCTGTGGTCATCTAAGAGCACAGCTGAGGCTCTGCACCTCTTCTGTAGAACCAAATCCCTCCTGAACATGTGCTTTCTTTCCTCCTCCAGTTTGCCTGTGTGCACTGCACACTGGGAGTGGGCCCAGCTGGGCCACAGGGCTTAAGGAGCTCCACATGCCAGGACCTTTGCTGTGTTATCATCCAGGCAAGGAAGGGCACTGCTGACTATGTCACAGGCCAGGAAAACGGCCCTCAAGAGAGAGGGGCTCTGCAGGGATGCAGGGTGCTGCCTTCCCAGTGCAAAGCCAGTCTTGTGCCAGGTGGACAGGGCCCTGCCGGTCAGCACTCAAGAGTCCCCATCACCTGGGCACTTCCTCAGTCCCTTCCTCCAGCAGGTATGTAGAGTCCTCCCCACAGGACCAGGGGCTCTGCCAGGGGTTCCTGGCTGCTGCTGGAGAGAGCCTCTGGGAGCACAGCATAGTGTGAGGACTTAGCTCCACTAGATGTTCACTTAAAATAGAGGGACAGTTCTATTTTATGTTACAATAAAATTTTATTAATGTTTAACAGAAAATAACTACAGATAAATGAAACCAGGAAAAAAAACAAAAGGCAACATTTCCAGGGGAGGGAGGGAGACTTGCCATTGAAGTCCTGCAAGGTGAGGTGGTCTAAATTGTCCTGCAATTGTCCTGATCCCTGGTTGAGATCAGCCACTAGAGGGGAGAGAGAGGGAGAGTCAAGTCAGGCTGGCCAGTTTCTGCCTGTCCAGCTCTGCTCACACCATCCCCCATAGCTCCACTCCTGGTCCCTTCCAATGGGCGCCTCTGTGGAAACAGTTGTGGCCCTAGAAGTGGCAGGAGAGCGACAGGACAGAAAATTCCTGGGAGACCACCCTTGTTTGTGCCTTTCCCAAGGTACAGCAGCCCACTTCCTGCCAGAGAAGCCCCAGGCACTGACCCAAAGCAAGACCCCGTCCCAACCCTTGTCCAGCCCCATCGGTGGTCCCATCCTCTTCCTTTGCCCCTGGCCAGTAGCAGCCTCTGGAAACTCCTCCTGATGGAACCAGCATGACTTTGCTGCACTCTCACCACCCACAGTCACTAACCCCAGCCTCCTACTCACCTCTGGAAGGGATCCCTCTTAGCAAACTCTAAATTAGGCCTAAGTCTGCCCACTTGCAGGATGATGTCTGAATCTGGAAGGTTCAGTAGGGCATAGTCCATGAGCTGCTTGAGGCTGGCCATGTCTGGGCACTGGCAAAAGTCTCCTGGGTACTGGAGAAGCCAGGTCTCCAGGATGGAACTCAGAGCCCTAGGGCAGGTGGGCAGGAGTGTCAAGAGCCTGGCCTCTCCCCTGTCCTAGGCCCCTGTCATGGAGCCTGATGGGAGCACTGTTCGCCATAGCCCACCCTGCCAGCCAGAAGCTGGGCATAGAGGGAAGAGGTGTAGGGACCACATGTGAGTCTTCTGTGTCCCACAACTCCTAGGCAGCCTCCATCCTGCATGCCGAGGTTTCTCTGGGTTGAGAATGGACTGCATGAAGGTGTATCCTCACAGGGACCTGCTGTGCACACAGATGCATCCTCACAAAGACCTACTCTGTCCCCAGACCAACCCTGAGGGCCTCCTTCATGCACAGAACCCTAAGCACAGATGTCTGTTTTGCAGCACCTGGAGGCTCAGCCTCAGATCCAAGCCCTCTAGTGGGAATCAATGAACACTGAGGGACCCTGGTTTTTCTCAGCTCGCCCACAGCCCAGTTCCTCTGCAACCCACTTTGGGGACAGGATTCTTCCATCCCTCTTAGCCCAATGGCCTCTCACCTCTTGTTCTGCTCGTCCTCCTCAGAGTCCGGGAGGAAGGAGGGGTACCTAGGAGAGACAGCAGAGTGTGACCTTTGAACACTCACTGTCCTGGCCTCCCAGGAGGTCTAGGGGAGTATGAGACTGTGTGATGGCAAAAGAGGCTGGGAAACCTGAGAGGTCCCTCTGCGCTGCTCCCTGAATGACAGAGAAACCTCAGGAAAGCTACCCGTACACAGTAGGTGCTGTGTAGACATCTGTGCTGTGGGTGATCCAGCCAGTTGTGCCCACATCTCAAGACTGCACCTGGGTGCTGAGACCCGCTTAAAGGTCCCCGCTCTGTGTTCCTCTAGGCAGGAACCTAGGAAAATCAAGTTCCATCTAGACAGTTCCTTCAAGGGGCGGATTGGGGATACCTTACAGATCCAGGACCCCATCTCTTACCCAGAGCCGGACCTAGGTTTACTGTTCTGGGGCCCCACCTATTTGGTTGAATAAACCATGTGAACAGGAGTCCTCTGAGTAAAGCATTATCCTCAGGGAATATTAGGGTGCAAAACGTTTCAGGGGGTTCATCCCCAAGAGCTTCCCAATGGTCCAGGGCCCCATGACTTGGAGGTGGAGCACACCTGAGGAACAGCAGATCTAGCACCTGCTGCGGGGTGGCGAATCTCCTGTAGATGGCCAGGAAGGCAGGCACGAAGAAGGTGTCCCCGCGCAGATGGGCGGGCACCAAGTTGTTCACCAGCTTCTTCAGCATGTCTGGCTCCATGCTCCCCACCTTGCCAGCATCCTCCAGCTTTGGGCTGGACTTCTTTGAGTCCTGAGGTGACAGTGAGAATGGAGTGTTCAGGCTTGGAAACACTAGCCAGCTCTAAAGAGCTCAGCCCCCATGTGGATCAGCTGCCAAAGGCGTCCCCTGGTTTCACACCCACTCACGCACACTGCCCCACACACCAAGGAGGCAGGCAGGGTTCTGGGCTCACCCAGCTGACTCTGACCTGTTGGGGGCTCTCCTGTGTCATGTTGGGGGTTCTGGGGTCGGGGTGCTCCAGGCTCTGGGGCTGACGACTGCCTGAGCCTTTCAGCCTTCGAATAAGACCTTGTTTCCACCAACTCTTGTGGCCTGAGCCTTCGCGTTTTGGGAAACAGCAAGAAAACATCCTCCTGGTTGTTGAGTCTCTCTACCAGTAACTGTAGGCATCCAGCCTTGAGAGTTCTAGGTTCTGTTAGGCGCATTGTCAAAGAAGTGAGGTCACTTCCTAGTGTTCCCCTCCCCTACCTGCTTCTCCCATGTCCCCTACAAAAGATGGATGACCCTTCCCAACCTGCTAGTTGCCAAACTGGAAACACTCAAACTCAACACATCCTGCACTATTATCCTTGTGTAGACCCTAGCTTCTCTTGGGTAGAGACAGCTCTTAAAGAACGAGGCCCTCCTTCTTTGTAGTGAAGAAGGGGCTGTGGTGCTCAGGCCACTGATTAGAATTCTTTTCTGGTGAAGGTTTCAGCTAAAGGCCATTGTGATGTTTAGGTCTCTGGTAAGGTGCAGAGTGAGGATCAAGGCATGTCCTTGAAGTAGGGTTGAACACCTATCACATCAGGTTGGTGTAGGAAACTAGCACCTGGTTAGGTTGACATCTATTATGTATAGTTCAGAGTTAGGATCCTGTGTCATGTGTGATTCATAGGGCTAGATATATTAGGTTTTGTTCCCTGCTAATTTTACTGCTAGTGTTTTTGTTAGTGGCCATGTCTTATATTTTTTAATCACCAAGCACATTGTGAAGAAAATTTTATTGGAGTATGAGGAAATGTAATGTTAGGATTTTTAGGGACAGGTGCTGAGGATGTAAGTGGCAGGGTTATTTTAAGGATTCAGGTGAGTTTTGGTGATAGGGTAAGAGTGAGTGTTGGGTTTAGAGTTAGTTCAAGAGTTAGAATGATGATTAAGGTTAGGGTTAGTGTTAGGCTTTAAGAGCATCATCATAGTGTTCAGGATTCAGGTTTAGGTTACCATTGTTGTTAGTAGTTAGGGTTAAGGTTAGGTTAGAGTATTAGAGTTAGAGTCTATTTTCGGTTGGGCTTCAGGTTAGGGTAAGTGTTAGGTTTGAGCCTGTCCTTGGAATTTGTGTGTAATTTCAGTCAGTGTTGGTTTTGAGATTGGGGTTAGTGTTAAGTTTTGGGATTAGGAGCAAATTTTGGGGTTTTCAAATATGTTTGGGGTTTAGGTTTTGCATGAGTGTGGCAGGTCTAAGGATTAAAGTGAGCATAAGGATTATGATGAGGATCAAGGTTAGGATGAGGATTAGATTGTATTTATGATTTAGGGTAAGGATTTAGAGTTAGATTCAGGGTTAATTGTAAGGTTAGAGTTAATGGTTAGCTTTTTCTTTTGAGATATGCTTAGAGTTAACATTACAGTTGGGGTTTTGTTAGAATTAGTGTTTTGAGTCTGCTTCAATGTTTAGGTTTAAGGTTAAGTTTAGAATAATGATCAGGGTTAGCTTTATGCTAGAGGGACAAGGTCAAACTTTACCTTTAAATTTAAGTTTAAGATTATATTAATTGGTTAGTATAAGGATTAAGATTAGCATATCGATTAGCATATCAGGTAATCCTAGGTATAGTAGTGAATTTGGCAGTGTACTTTCTTTACAATTAAAAAAAAAAAAACTTGGAGGGGCTGGGGATTTAGCTCCATGGAATAAGCGCCTGCCTTGTAAGCAGACAGTCATGAGTTCGATCCCCAGTACAGATAAAAAAGGAAAAAAGACAAAAAAAAAAAAAACACCTGGAAAAAGTTTGACACTGGTTCTTGTAGAAGACTACATGGATTCACCACCTTGCGTACCGAACAATCACAACAATATTAGTTAAATCAAGTCTTATTTCCATATACTGCTATGTACAGAGCCGGCTATGGTATTGCCTTCACTCTTCAGTTGCCTTTCAGCAGTGCAAATAAGGACAGCTGAACTTATAAGTAATCTTTGAAGTCTGTCCTTCAGTGTCCTGTTTTCTAAAATAGTGCTCTCTGTAAAAGATCTGAGCACAGCAGGATGGCAGAGCCACTCAGTTCCAGGAATGTCAACTGGGTGTGAGCCTCAAAGGAAGAAGTTATGGGTGCAAAAGATTACTTATCAGAAACTGAAGAAACAGCCTCCTGAATTCATTCATATGCTATCCCCATTAAGTTATACAGACTGGTCTTTCTGCTTATCACCTTGCATATTGCAAAGATGTTTTTTTACCTAACCCTTCTTCACAAGATAATAAATTCTGGGAAAGGCCTTGCATCAAGGCCTTTGCACATCCTCACTTGAATTGGACTTAGGACTCCTTGGCTGCCCTTATCTTTGCATATCTGTGGTGTTATCACTGTTGCTGTGAGTTGCATTGGAAGTGGTAGATTGAATAACTTGCCAGGATTGCAATAATGTCTCAAAAGGATTACAAATATATGTATATTATCTATTTGGGATTACCTATTTATCCAGTGTGAGCCTTAACAGTTATGAAATTCCCTCTTTCAGTGGTTTTCATTGTGTCCCTTAGGCTTGGAATATTGAGCTCCCATTGTCATTTGATTGTAGGACTTTAAAAAGTTTTTCCTTGACATTTTCTGGGACTACTTGATTGTTCATGAGTGCATCATTTAATCATCACATATTTGCATCATTTCTGTGATTAACTTTGTTGTTAATTTCTGGTTTTATTCTAGTATGATCCATTAACATGCAGGGTGGTTTTTCAGTTTGTTTATGTTGATTTCACTATGTTTTATGGCCTAAGATGTTTATGCCAGAAAGTTCCATGTGCTTCTGAGAAAAATGTGTATTCTATCTTTGGGTAAAACATTGTAGATATGTGTTAAATCCCTTTGTTTGATGACACCAGGGTGAGTTGGCATTTTGTTGGGAGCCATTTAAATTGAAAATTGAACACAGATGCAGGGATGTGGCATGGCCTGCCCAGTCTGAGATCAAAGAGTTTCCTCAAAGGACAAGAAAAGGTCACACCTGAGGACACCTGGCTCCACCTCCAATTAACTAAAGACTGCAGCTGCAGGCATTTCACTCCTGTACTGAAATGCAACATGGGGATCTTCTCATAAGATAGTTCTCTTAATTTAAATGTAATTTGTTACTTGGCAAAGTCCTTGAACCACTCCCAAGGTCTGTTCAGTTTCCTGGGTTTTCACTCTAACTCCTTCATTAGGTACTAATTTAATATGCCTGCCCAGAGACATTCCTTGTCTTAGCCAGCAGAGTCTGATACATGGCATAGGGCTGTGATCCTCCTGGAGCCCTAAAACCATACGACTTATCTCATTTATTTAAGCCTGCACAGTAGACTTATGTGGGAGATTGGGGATCTAGGCCAGATCCCTGCTAGGCATTGTCTCCTGTTCTCCATTTTCCTTACACTCCTGTGCTCAGCACCAAAATGAGTGAATGTGACCATGTGACTCAAAGACTTTTAAATGGTTGCTGTGCACCAGATTCGACTCCAGGAACTTGCTCTCTGAGATCATTCAGATTCTGGTAGAGTAGTAATTGTGGAATTTAGGACCCTGTACTGCAACTGCATCCTAGCTTCCCATTTTGCAGGGTGACCTGAGTAACCTGCTTAACCTCTCCACATTTCTTCCCCTTTTCTCTGCTTTTATGATTATGATTTGTCTGTAAAAAATGATGCCAATATCACATTCTGCACAGATCTCAAAGTTCTAGGGGGGAAAGATGTGAAAGGGTGGAGAAATAAAGATGAGAGTTAATATATAGAAAGCTAAAGTCAGGTGTAGCCCTCTCTGTGGATAGGAGGCAAGGAACTGCTCAACCACTGCAATGCTTTTATGCATGTATTTCTCCTGTGGTACACCTTTGCTTAACTAGCTTGCCTCTTATGCCCCATGTTCTTGGGACTGAAATACCTTTTTGCTTGGTAGACTCCATGTCTTCAGGGCATTCTTTGGGTGCTTTGTGCTCTCAGCTCCACATGTATGAACTATCACTAGCCCAGCCACTCCTGACATCTCCCCTTTTCTGCTTTTGTAGTTGCAATCAGTAGGTGTTCATTAGAAGTTGGAGGAACTGTGTTTGGAGGACTCTGCTGAACTGTTTTTTCCTTATGGTGACACTTTTCCAATGGATGTTTAAAAGCAAGTCAAAGTGAGATATGTATTCATTAAAATTATTTCTTGCTATCTGTCAAGGCCAGAATTGCCTGAAAACCATGTACAGCACCTCTGAGTACTTGTATAAATGTCAGTTTTCTGGATGAATCATGGCCGTTGCTTGACCAAGTTGTTTCTATGACAGCTTAGGACATTTTTCTCTCCTGGTGTGTCTCCATAGACACAGTATACACCACTGATCCTCTCCTCTGTGGTGCCTCATAGTCCTTGGTCAGAAGACCAGAGTCTATTGAGCTATAAGATGTCCCAGCAGAGATTGTCTTGTACCCTGTGTCGTCATTGACCTTCAAGGGCTAAAGCCAAAATATTGGCTATCCTCCTAGCCCATGTATCGTTCTAATGCTTTGGCCTTCAACCCTCAGTTGTTGAACATGCATAAGAGAAGATCATCACATAACATTGTCATAGGTGCAGTGAGGTTAATATCATACAAAATAGAACTACTATTTTCTATCAACCATGGATGTCCTAGTATTTAAATTGTTATAGAATGTTAACAAATAACAGTCACATATTTTACACAGAAATTTAAAAATCAAAATCCATAAATAATATTTTAGTATGACAATCATGATGACACTTTGTAATACACTTAAGTTTTCATCGTGATGTAGTACAACATTTTTAGCCAATCACCTCTTGCACATGAGAAGATTTTTTTTTTTACCTAATTTGCTGTCTTTAGTGGGATGTCACCACACAAATTTTGTTAATGGTAGATTTATGAATCTGAAACAAAGATCCAGGCCCTATTCCATGCTTTGGAAGATCTGCACATCTGCAGGCAAGAAGACCTTCAATATAATTTCAACATGGTTTGTTCTGTCTTGCTTTGTTAGATTTTACCCTGTCAGATGGTAGGGCCAGCAATTTTGAATGTAATGGGATATATTATGGAATCATGGTTTCCTATTATATTGCTTTGATGTCTTATAGTGTTTTAATCCATTTGTTTGATTGGTTTTATTCTGTTTTTTATTTTTATTATGTGTGATGGATTAAACAGCTAATCTGAAGAAAACAGACATTATGATAGCCATTGATGATTTACTATCATCTTGTTTTGAAGTCCTATTGTGTTTTTTTCCTCTGTTTTGATTGCTTCTATTCTGTTGTGTTTTATTTCATTTTATTATATGTGATGGTATAGACAATTTTTTTTTGCGAAAAATAAGATGTTATATAGCCATTGTTGATTTTCTGTTATTTGGCTTTGAAGTTCTGTGCTTTCACTCTCTCAAATAGTTTTATATTATTTTTTATGTTTGATATTAATGTGAGTACAGGTATGCTCAACTATTTCCAAAAAAAGAGACATTATGGTAGCTATTGTTGATGTCCGGTTGTCTTGTTGTGAAGTGCTGTGTTGATTGCATTGTTCTGTTCTAATTTGCTTTGTTCTGTTTGCTTTTTTAATATTCTCTTTAAAATAATACATTTTTTGAAAAAGAGAAGAATAGCAACTTTGGATCTCTGTGAAATGAACTACTCTAGCCCAAGCATAAGTTGGCCCACTAATTCAATCCTGCCAGATGCCAGAACCCTGTCAGTTGGATTTAATAATCCTACCTGGAGAGTGGGTAGGAACGTGAGACCTTAGAGCAAGTAACTCTCTTTTCTTACTGCAAATAAAGAACTGTCCCAAATATCTTTTACTGTTCTGCTAAGAAGTGACTTACAAAAGGATAAAAAAATGCACTGATCCTCAAGTGTCAGGATTTTCTAAGAAACAAATCAGAGTGACCTCACATAGCTTTGCAGAGAGATATTTGGCTTTGTAGTCTGAACTGGCTCATGAGAAATACAGGTTAAGACTAATATGTTTATTATGAAACAGAGTTACATACATGTCTCTTATCTTTGATTCCTCAAACACCTAGAATACTGTAGCAGCACCCGGCTTCTTTCTATAGAATACAATGAATGGCCAAAATGAACGCAGACTGTAACAATGTCACTCAGAGACAGGCTCTTTGAAGGGAGTAAGGCACAAGATTTAATATATCTTGTTAAAGGTAGACAGAGCACAGAAAGACCATCTTCGGGGGAACAAAGAAAAGAGGAGGGTTTGGAGGGTAGGTAAGGACACAAGTTTAGCCATTGTTTAAGGGGGTCTGGACATGATGTCATATGAGGAGGTCTAAGAAAAGATCAGTGGTCAGATTCTTAGAGCCTCTCGAGCATCAGTGGTGAACCTTCTCAGAGTTTCTGGCGCCAGTGTATGGATGTTATCAGATGTGCTGGCACTGGAAAGATTGTGTGCTGTACCTTATCTCTTCTTTCCAGTATTCTGTCCTGGAGATCTGATGGCAGCAGTGGTGCTAGTTTGTGGTTTTGCTGGGAACAACCTAGGTGCTCAAAAACAGTTTGGGTGCTGGAAAAGCCATGTCCCCGTCCAGTGTGATACAGTCTAGCCACATCTTGCCAAGTACAGCTTGACATGAGATATCATGAGTCAGGGGCTTGTACATGTCCCAGTAATTCTCAGCTGATAAATTTTACCTTCCATTTCAGAACTGTATTCTCGGTTACTCATAGTTTATGTCCATTTTTAGAATCCTAGCATTAGATATTGTCTAGGAACACATAACTTTTTAGCAGAGGTTGCCTGTAAGGATTGGTGGTCAGCTTAAACCGCAGCTGAACTGAATCAGGAAGGTGCTAAGAGTGGATGGCCCACTTGAGGACTGTTGACAGCACAAAAACGAGACCTGAAGAGAAAGAGGAGCACCAAGGGTTTTCCTAAGTGTTGCTGTTGTTGTTTAGAACCATAAGTCCTGCTGGAGAAGCTTGTCATGCTGGCTCCCCTGATATGCATTTGGCTACCATCATCAGAGGAGGTCTGGAATTGTCCCTGACAATGACTGCAGTTCATGTTGGTGGAGCTCTGGGCCTTACTTTGAACATTGCTTCCTGGCCCCAGAGGGGAAGATGTGTGCTGCTTAATCTTAGGAGCAGTCTGTCACGCTGGCTTCCTGATATGTACTCAGCTGTTCTCATGGTCAGAGGAGCTCCCGACCCCATCCTCACTGAGGGTGGCTGCCATAGTTTTTGGGAGAGCCCTGGTCCTTATTGTGAACATCACTTCTTGGCTCCACTGCAGAACGCTCCACCTACTGGCAGGGATCCTTCACCCCGCTGCCATAGACTTTCTAAGCTTCACTGCTGGCCTTTTCCTTCCCAGTGCAGATCTGTGAAACAGACTTGCATGAGTCATTTTCGGGGCTCTAGGTCTTCAGCTGAATTCACGCAGGTTACTGCCGTGGGACCAGGTCGTCAGCTGGATTTTTAGGTCCTTAAAAGTGTGGAAAGTTTTCTTGCACTTTCTTTTTATTTGACTCCTTGAGTGACCATTACAAATAATACTGTAAATTATGTTTCCTGTTAGTAATTTTTCTCCTTCCAACCTCTGAGTACAACACTGCCTAAGCCTTGACAGGTTCTCATTTTTTAAAATTTCATTGTTTAGCTAATTTAAATACTTGGAAATTATTTTCCAAATGCTTGTTCTTATCTCTTGTTGAAAATGAATGTAGTTTAACTTTCAAGAAGAAAGCAGAACTGAATTAGGGATACAGAAAAGATGATATTCAGTAAGTCTGTGAAAAAAAGAAAACTAAAGATTTTTGTGAAAAAAAGGAGAAAACTCTTAATGATATTGACAGGGCTAATTTTCAGGACATATAGTTCTCAGTTAGAAAACAAATTCCCCAAGTCTTTCCCACAATCATCATGATGTCAAAGAAAGACAGGGGGAAAATAAATATATGATAAATAACTACACTGACAGAAGCCTGCATGGTGATTTGTCATTTATTTATTTCCCATATCATTGCAGGCCACGGAACATAGCAGCAACAGAGACTTCTTGGATGTTATAAGCTGCAAATATACTTGAGTAAATGAGATTCATAGTGTGTAAAATTGCTGTTTTCTTTGTGCAGAGAATCAGCAAGAGAAGACGCTCCACTGACAGGCAGCAGGTGGAGGTTCCGGGGAGCAGAGTGTCTCCTTCTTGACCGCAGGAGGTGCTACTGTCCACTGCTGTGTGAGCACTGCTGAACACCTGCCAGCAGTGAGGCCACCATTTGAAAGGCCTGAAGGAATGTTTCTATGGATTCCAGAGGGCAAGTGAGTGATCAGGTCTGTATATAACAGTTGAGTGCACAGCTGTTTCCTTCTTCTTAACCCTCAATTTAAGGATTCCTTTGGCTTTGACTCCATAATGTCTTGGTAACATTTTCACACAGAATAGTAGAAAAGTCAGAGGAAAATTACAGTAGTAACAGTGTTTTAATCTTGATTGTCACCATGGCTGATGTCTCAAGTTATCCACACTTGAAGTCCTGATGACGTAGTCAGTATAAATATTAATTAAAATGTTGTTACCAATATTTTAAAATTGTATGTTTAAAAGTAGCATTTCTAAAATAATTTATTGATAAATAGTTGACTGTATTATATTTAAGAAGAATAATTTTTTATGTATGCATACACCCTTGAAATTATCACATCAGTCCCTAACATAGGTACCAATGCCTCCCCAAAGAATTTTCATGTATTTTTGCAAGTGCTCTTTCTTCTCCTTTCTCCTATGCCCAGCAACCACTTATTTGCTTTCATAAAGATTATTTGCATTTTCTAGCATTTTACACCATGAAATCATATTGAAAGTATAATTTTTACCTGACTCTTTTAACTCAGTATAAATCTTTGATCTTCATACATATGTATAAATTTCTTTGTTATTACTATGTACATTATATTTTATAGAAACTCACAACTTGCTTATTCACTTCATTGGTGCCTGAGGCATTCTGATTATTTTCTTTTATAAATAAAGTTACTATGACTATCCAGGTGCCAGTTTTTTGTACTTTTATTAAGATATTCCTCGTCTGAACATGGTGGTATTGTTTTGGTGCTGTTAGGTGATGAATTTACCCTGTGCATTAACTTATACATGTTTGACATTGTGGTAGAGTTATCAGGTAAAAAAACTGTCCATTAGATGTTAAGGAGAAATAAGGATAGTTTATACAAAAAAAGGGTAATAATTTCATTAGACTCATCCTCAAAATCATTAGAAGTGCATTAGAGAGGGGAAAGGACACAGATCAGATCATTGGAGAGACAAATAAGTACGCAGAAAATCAAGTAAAACAAAATTTCATTTTTCCTAGTTGATCTAATAGTTAACAGTTTGTTCAAAAAAATAAAAATAATGCATTCCACAATGGCAGATTACCTAAAAGTGAAATGATTCATTGTTCAATTGTTTGATCATTTTTTATGCCTATATCTTGTAATCTGAACAACTATTTTGAAGATAACAATACACAATATATTAGGCAGTGTTCTCTATTTTGAAATTTTGTTTTGAAATTCTGTGTCATTATTTTTATTCTTTTTAATTTTTAATGTATAAAGGTGAAATGCATGGCAGTGATGATAGCAGAGACACGAAATGAATACTGCTGGGAATGGCTGGTTATTGTGCAGTACCTGGAAGTGCTATGGCGCTATTTTTTGCCCATGTGGCAAAGCAAGTCCCCCTTCCTCCTTCCTTTTAGGCTCTGGTAATCACCACTCTATTTCCTTGTTGTGTATATTTGACTATGCTAATTTCCTGTATTTCATATGTCATTCTGTATCTGACTGATTTCACTTAATATAGTATTCTTCCTGTTCATCTATGTTGTTGCATTTGATAAAATTTTCTGCTTTTTAAGTGTTAAGTAATACTATATTATATGTAGATATATAATATATATTATATGTAGATTTTGCTTATTCATTCCTTCATTCATTAATGAACGTAGGGTTGTTTCCATGTTTTTGTAACTGTCAATGATGTTGCTATGAATGAGTGTACACATATCTCATTGAGCCCCTCCAATCAGTTAATTGACTATAGATCCATGAGAGGAATTTCTGGATTATAAGTTAATATTTTAAATTTTTAAAGGAGTCACTGTATCATTTTCCATAGCAGCCACCCTATTTACATTCTCAGTAACATCATACAAGACTTTCAGTTTCTCCACACACTTCCCACAGTTGTTTTATTTTCTGTGTATTCACCATCCAAATAGAAGTTAAATGACAGGTATAAAATGGTAAGTCTTATAGTTTTGAGTTGTATTTTAATAATGATTAGCAACTTTAAAACTCTGTGGGTATGTGTGCCATTGGACATTTGTATATTTTGTTTGGAGAAATGTTTATTCTTGACTTTAGCCTATTTTTAAATAGAATTGTTTTTTGTTGAGTTTTAGGAATCCTCCTTATATTCTAAATATCAATACCTTATCAGACACACGATTTATATGTTTATTTTTCCATTCTATGGGTTGCCTTATTATTTCATTGGTTATGTGTTTTCATATATGAAAATTTTAAGAAAAGTCCAATTTGACCATATTACCTTTTGTTATACATGCCTTTGGTATTATATGAAAGAAATTATTGCCAAATTCGATTCAAATTTTTGTCTTTGTATGCTTGTCTAGTTACTATTCTCTCACTTATGATACCCAAAAACAGTGAAAGACACTCTAGATAGACATAGGGGAAAAACCACTAAGCAAGCAAACAATTAAACAGAGTAAAAAGGCAAAGAATCAACAGCAGTAAGATAACATAAAAAATAAACCAATACATATCAGTTATAATCATTAATGTAAATGGCCTCAAGTCACCAATTAAAAGAAACAGACTGGAAGAATTAATCAAGAAACAACATCCAAACATATGCTGTCTACCAAAAAACCCATCTAAACCAAAGGGAAACTCAGAGACTGAAAGTCAAAGGATAGAAAGCTATATTTTATGTAACAGAATCCCCCCAAACAAGCAGGGGTAGCTATTTTGTTTGCAGACAGTATGAACTTCAAACCCAGAATGATCCAAAGAGAGAAAAAAATGTCACTGCATACTGTTAGGGGAAAACCTCAAGAGGAAGAGATGATAGTCTTAAATATATGTACCAAATTTGGGAGTTCCCAGCTATACAAAACTAGTATTAACAGAAATGAAAAATTAAATAAGTAATAACACAATTAAAACAGGAGACCTTAACATACCATTGACACAAAGTGACAGATCAAGTAGTCAGAAAATCAGCAAAGAAATAACACAACTGAATCACAGCTGTGAACAAATGAGTGTTCCACCCAACAATATCAAAATATACATTCTTCTCAGCAATACATGGAACATTCTATAAAATATATAAAAGATAAATACATATAATAGGCCACAGAACATGCTTAAGTAAATGCAAAAGAGTTGAAATTTTCCCATGCATATTTTCAGATCATAGTGCCATGAAACTAGAAATTAATAACCACACAAACACATGGAAAATAAATGACACACTCCTGAGCAATCAGTGGGTTATCGAGGAAATTATAGAAAAATTAATATCTACAAGCAAACAAAAATACAAATACAATTACGAGAATCTGTGAGATTCAATGGAAGCAATCCTCAGAGGAAAATCTATTGCACTGAGTTCCCACATCAGGAAAACAGAACAAATACAAATAAACAACCTGATGATACACCTCAAACATCTAGAGAAAGATGAGGAAGCCTAGCCCAAAGACAAAACAAGGGAGGAAATTATAAAGCTCAGAGAAGAAACCAATGCAATAGAGACTCAGAAAACAATACAAAGAATCAATAAATCTGGCAGGTGGTTCTTTGAAAGAATAAATAAAATTGATAAGCCCCTAGCCAACCTTACCAAAAAAAGGAAAGGAAAACTCAAATTCATGCAATAAACAATGAAAAGGTTGAAATTATGAGAATAGAGATAGAGAAGATCATCAATAGCTATTTCAGAAACATCTAATCTCATACCATTGATAATACAGAAGAAATGGACAGTGTTATGGATTAAGAACTTGTGGTCAAATCAAGGCCAGCTGGATTACATCAGCATGGCATTGAGCGAAGATGCTCCACCTGAAGAAAGTTGCCAGGATAAATAGGTGGAGAAGAAGGGAGGTGGGGAAGGTTGAGGCTTTCAGGTGGCATTGTGGGTTCACCTATGAGTTTCTGTCTGTGCTGTTGGATCTCCTGGAGAAGGTTTGGTCCTCACATGGAGCATTGCTTCCTGGTTCTGGAGGGGAAGACATGTGCTGCTTGGTCTCCAGGATGACCTCGTCACGCTGCTTCCTGATATGTACCCCATTGAGCTTGTCGGAGGAGGAGCTGATGCCTCCGTGTCGCTGAAGATGGCTGTGGTGCCTTTCAGGATAGCTCCGGTCTTTGTTGTCAGTGTGACTTCTCGATTCCAGCGTAGAACCCTCATCCCACCACCACAGCTCCTTCATCCTGCTGGCATAGACTTTCTAGCTTCCACCGCTGACCGTTGTGTCTTCCCCACACGGATCCATAAAAGAGACTGGCGTGAGTCCTTCTTGTGGGCTTTGGGCCTCCAGTTGGACTTGTGAGAGGCATTGTACTGAGGTCTGGGTTTTTATCTGGACTCATGTGGGACATGTGCTGTAGGGTTTAGGCTCTTGACTAAATAATCTATGTCTTTGGTGAGGTGTATAGATTTCCTGCATTTTCCTGTGTTACTCCCGGTGACCATTATAAAAATATTATAAACTCCGTGTCCTGAACCTAATTGTTCTCTCTGTACAACTCCTGACTACAACAGACAGATTTCTAGAAACATATAAGCAACCAAAGCTGGATCAAGAAGACATAAAACTGCTAAATATCCCAATTCCAATTAACAAAATTGAAAATGTAATTAAATCCTTATCAATAGAGGAAAGCACTGGTCCAGACAGATTCACTGCAGAATTTTACAAGAAATTCAAAGAAGATTTAATGCCAACACTCTTTACACTCTTCAATGAAATTGAAAGGGAAGCAATTCTCCTGAACTCATTCTTGGAAACAAACATTAATACCAAAACCTAAGAACCAAAACCAAAAAAGGAGAACTACAGGCCAATCTCCCCAATGAACGTAGATGCAACAATTCTCAATAAAATATTGGCAAACAGAACGCAGCGAATCATCAAGAAGATTATACACCATGACCACGTGGGATTCATCTCAGGAGTACAGGGATGGTTCAACATATGCAAATCAATATATACAATCCAACATCTCAATAGAGCCAAAAATAAGAATCACATGATCATTTCTATAGATGCAGAAAAAGCTTTTAATGAGGTCCAACACTTGTTCATATTGAGAGCCTTACAAAAAAATTGGAATAAGTGGTATTTACCTCAATATGATAAAAGCCATCTATGAAAAACCAACATCATATTAAATTATTATATTAAATTATATCATATTAAATTGCCAAAAACTGAATGCCTTTACCCTAAAACCCGAAACAAGACAAGGATGTCCATTATCACCACTCCTATTGAATATAGTTTTGGAAACATTAGCCAGAGCAATTAGACATTACAGAGAAATAAAATTAAGGAGAGGAAAAGAAGAATTTAAATTATCATTATTTGTAGGTGATGTGATAGTCTACATAGAAAACCCTCATACTCCATTGAAAGACTCCTAGGTATAATAAATAAATTCAGTAATGTATCTAGATACAAAGTCAGCACTCAAAAGTCAAATAGCATTCCTATGCATGTTATCAGATCATAGTGCCATGAAACTAGAAATTAAGAACAAAATCACAGAGAGAGAAACAACAGAAGCTACACCCTACATAATAACATCAGAAAAATGAAATACTTAGGAATTAATCTACCAAAAGAAGCAAACGACCTATTCAGAGAAAATAATTATATCAAAAGGACCTCAGAAAATGGAAAGACATCCATTAGTCGTGGATAGGAAGAACAAAAATTGTGAAAATGGCCATTCTCCCAAAATTGTTAGACAGATTTAATGCAATTCCAATCAAAATAACACTAGCATACCTCACAGATCTAGAGAAGTCTCTCCTAAAATTCACCTGGAACCAGAAGAGACCTAGAATAGCAAAGGAAATTCTAAGCAGCAAAGGCAAGGCGGGAGGCATCACAATCCCTGATTTGAAGCTCTGCTACAAAGCTACTGTAATAAATTCAGAATGGTACTGGGATAAAAACAGCCCTGAAGGTCAGTGGAATAGATTAGAAGATACAACTACAACTACAAACACACTCAGCCACCTTATCTTTGGTAAAGGTGCCAAACACATTCACTGAAAGAAAGACAGTGTCTTTAATAAATGGTGCTGGAAAAATTCGTCACCATATGCAGAAAACTAAAACTAAACCCATGACTATCACCAGGTACTGAGCTAAAGTATAAAAGCATCAAAGATCTAAATATTAAAACAGAAACACTAAATCTGTTGAAATACCAAGTAGGTAAAAATCTCAAAGACATAGGGGTAGATAGGTAGGTAGAATCTTGAACAAGAATCAAACTGTGTGTGAAATAGTTCACAGGTTCAGTAACTCGGTTCACGTCCCATTAAAGAGTTTTTGCATGTCAAGAGAAATTTCCAACATAGTTAAAACCCACAAATTGGGATACAATCTTAGTGAACTGTCCCTCAGATAAAGGTCTTCTGTCTAGAACACATTAAGAATTTTTAAAAATCAAGTTCCGCTAATTCAAAGACCTTATCAAAAAATGGGCATCTGTGATGAATACATTGTTTTCAAATAAAGAAATAGAAATGGCAAATAAATACATTAAAAATGTTCAGCATCACTGGTCGTTGCAGAAATACACATTAAAACAATACTGAGAATCCATCTCACCTTAGAAAGAATGGCCAGGATAAAGAAAACTACCAACAACAAATGCTGGAGAGGTTGTGGGGAAAAAGGAACTCTCCTGCACTGTTGGTCGGAGTGCATACTGGTGCAACCACTGTGGAGGTCAGTCTGAAGATTTCTCAAAAACCTGAGATTGGAGGTCCCATTTGACAAGCTATTCCACTTTGGGCATATTCCCAGACGAACTGAAAGCATCATATCACAGTGATGTGTGTGCACCCATGTTTATAGAAGCACAATTTGTGATATCTTGGAAACAACATAAATGCCCATCAATTGAGGAATGGCAAAAAAAAAAAAAAGATGTGTTATTTTTATACAATGGAATAGTACTCAACTATAAAGAATGTTCACATTGAGATATTTATAAGTAAATGGATGCAACTTGAGACCATACTCATAAGTGAAATAAATCAAACTCACATGTGTAAACATCATATAGTCTCCCCAGAGTAAGAAATGGTAAGTGTACATAAGGTACAGAATACTCAACAAATACAGTGAAGGAAAAAGTATCTGCTTAAAAGGGAAAAAGTAGTATCTTAGGGAAAATGATCAAAAAGAACAAGGAAGGGAAAAGAAAACTATCTAAAATTATATAAACACACATAGGGTAGCAAAAATGATAGTTCCACAAATTCTGTAAGTTTTTGGAACAAAAAGTTAACATTCAGAGGATTGGAAACATTGTGCACATTGCTGTATGATCTGAGTAAACTTTGGAAGATCATTATGTAGCATAAGAGCTCTAGATATGCACATACCACCTTGTTTGGAAGGCCTGTAATGTCAGCGTTTTGGGCTCTTTGCTTTGTTATTTATTTGTCTTTTTTGTTTTTTGATTTTCTAGGAATTTGTTTTGTTTTTTGTTTCCCTCTAATCCAAAAAGATAGATAAACATGTAGAGACTTATACCTGCAGAACTTTTCCTAAACAGTTTATGAGAATCAATTATATAGTGCATGATGAAATGAACAGCTATTTTGAAGAAAAAGAGACACTGCGGTATCCAGTGCTGATTCCCTAGCATCATGCTGTGAAATCCAGCAATACTATTATTCTTTGTTCAGAGTGATTTTAGTCTGCTTGGTATTGCTTAATTTCAACACACATGAAGGAAGGACTGTTATGTTGAAGAGAACGCGAGACATTATGGCGGCCAATATTGATTTCCGAATTGTCTGTTTTTTTGTTTTGTTTTTTGTTTTTGTTTTTTTTTTGTGTGTGTGTGTGTGTGTGTGTGTGTGTTTGTTTTTGTTTTCTTGTACCGGGAATCAAAATCACGACTGAGTACGTGCAAAGCAGGTGCTTATACCACTGAGCTAAATTCCCAGCCCCTATTGTCTGGTTTTGAGGGCCTACAATGCTTTATTCATTCAGTTCTGATCAGTTTAATAGTATTTTGTTTTGTATGCATTTGCTGTGTGTGAAGATATGGAGAACTATTTGGAAGAAAACAAGAGACAGTATGATAGCCAGGGACCTGCTTCACAATCTGTTACTTACACAGCTTTCTTCTGATCTGCATAGTTCTGTTTCATTTTGTTTAGTTTTCTTCTCTTTAAAATAAAATTAAAAAATAAAATAAAATATTGGAATGCCTTTCTCACTTACCTTTGTGTATCTAGGCATAGATATTTTGCCTGTGGTTACTATGGGAATTACAATTAACATTTTAAAGTTAAAACACAATTCTGAATTTATACCAACTTAACATCAGTAATATATTTTTTTAAAAAACTGCTTCTTCTTTGCTTTTTCCTCCCCCTGCTCAGCTGCTGACATTACAATATCTCATCAATATATGTTGTGTGCCCCAAAATATCAGTAGTTCTATTAAATATATTAGACTTTTGAACTACATTGGAAAACGTGAAGTTATAAATATTACAATGACACCACTTTTAGAATAATATTTTTAAATGCTTGACTTCACACATTAGGAAGGCTGAGTCTGGTATTTCAACACATACATAATTCCCTGAGAAAATCCTCCCTCCCGTTATTACTTTTACATACTTCCCAACCCATAATAATCACTGTGTATTCAAATAAACAGTTTAGTTCTCATCTACGAAGGACTAAGTGTGGTAGTTGTTTCCTGAATCTGGCTGATTTCCCTCAACACACTATGATTTAGTTCTATTGCATCTTAATGGGTTAATAATACTCTACTCTAGATAAATACCACATTTCATTATCTGTCAATTTATCCATAAGGCCTCTAGACTGATTCTATATACTATCTATTGTTAATAGTGTCATGATAAACACTGGTGTGCAGGTATAACTTTTGTATGCTGATTTTATTTTCCTAGAATTTATACTAAGTAATGGGAAAGCTAGATTATATGGTAAGTTTACTGTTAGTCGTTTTGAAGGTCCTTCAGCCTGTGCACCATAATAGCTGTGTGAATTATTTTCAAAGTAACAATGTGTAAGACTTCTGTTTTCTCCACAACTTTATCATCATTGACTTTTTAAAAATAACAAAAACCATTCTAGCTATTGTGAAATCATATTTAGTTTTCATTTTTATTTCAGTTTTCCTTCTGGCTAATCGTATCACGCAATTGTGTATGTTTATTGACCGTTTGTATATCTTCTTTTCAGAAATATCTACTTAGGTAATTTGATCATTTTTAATTGGGTTTATTTTGATTTTTGTTACGTTTCTTTAATTCCTTATAAGCATGGGGCATTAATTCTCTGTCAGAAGAAATCAGAAAATATGTTTTCTTCTGCGCTTTATCTTTTTGCCCCTATTTTACATACTGTACAGAAGCTTTTTAGTGTGATGCAATCCCATCTGTCAATTTTTGCTTTATTTTCCTAAGCATTTGGGGTTCTTTCTAGAAAATTACTGCCTGTATGTCTTGGTTACTTTCGTTTCATTGCTGGAACAAAATACCAGACACCCAAAAAAGAAGGAAGAATTGGTTTATTTGTCTCACTATGGTGGTTTCGGTCCATAATCAGCTGGCTCCAAGGTAAGATAGCATTGCACAGGGCACACTTCAAGGGAGCTGCCTGCAAAAGCAGCCAGAGCAAAAGAGGGGGAGATGAGCTTCTTTTCCTCCCATATATTGTATGCAGGCCACCCCTGCCCCCAGCACAGATGCAGCACTCACAAAATCTCTGTGCCCTCCTCTTGCACCAAAAGAGAATATTTACAAAATAAGGTCCTGGCTCCCTGCTAAGTCTCATACTTTTAAACTTCTCAAGTTGACACAGGGTATCACCAGAATGCTATAGTAAGGCATTGTATACATTGTTTTCTCTAGATGAAATGACTTTTATTTACTTCCTATATCAGTTGTCAAGGACGACATTGTCTTACACTTGAGACTAAATCCTGTTAACTTGTACTTATGTCTCTCATGCAAACCAGAAACTCTTGCTATGGGTTTTCATTAAATATAGTTTTTCTTCTATCTTTTTGTAGATCAGTTAAAACTATTTGAGTAAGTGATTTCTATAGTTGGGTTATTTAAAATATAGTATAATTCTAATGAAATGAGGTTCTTTGTTCAAAACATTTGCTTTCAAAGAGATTATGCTTTACCCCGTAAAGTATGAAGTGGCATTTCCTTATAGATCCTTTCTTGGCATACTGTTAGCTTCATACATCTCAAATTAATAGTGTCAGCATTTAAACACATGCTCTACTTTGAGGAAATGTTATGGAGAAGAACAATGCAAGTTGGTCTACTACTGAAGATCAGGCCCACAACCTCCCAAAGAAAAGGATGATGAAGGTTTAATTAAAAAGAGACTGGTGGTGTAGTTTAGGGTTCTGCGATTAAAACCTTCCAGCAGAATTTGAGATTCTCTGGGGATTGAGACAAAGAACTTATTTAGGTGCTCCATATTTATTTGGATTTCAGACAAAGGAAGGAAATACTGAGGAGAGTTTGGGCAGCTGAGCAGGACCATCAGAGTCAGTTCAAAGACTTCTCCAAGTAGTAAATTATGCTAATGAGGAGAACTATCTTAACTCCAGGTTATCATTCATGGCAGGGCAGGGGTGAGATGCTGGAAACTACAGTCTCTATCTAGTTATTTGGGATTGGAGCCTCAGCTGGGACAAGGGACTCACAGAGGTTCGCTTCCTGTGAATCCACAGCCCTCCTCCAGACAAGGGGCTTAGGCCTGGGACAGACTCACAAGTAAACATAGAAAGTAAATTGATTGACTTTCAATCCTGCTCCGAGATGCTTTCTAGTGGTCTCTATTATCCTGCAATTATATTGAAAATCAAGTGATAACAATGGAAATTTCCCCTGACTTCCTAGAAAACGTCTAAGAATATAATGTGCCAAAATTTGGTAAGGAAAGAGCTGTCTACATTAATACTATCCACATGCTTTTTCGTTTTAAAAATACCCTGTCAAGCTGAGCGTGATATCTCATGTTATATCAGCAATACTAATAATACGGGAAGATAAAGCAGGAGAACCACAAATTTGACCCAGTTTGGGCAGCTTACGGAGACCCTATTCCAAAACAATAATAATAAACGAAGCCAGGGATATGGCTCAGTGTGAAGTCCTGTACTTCAGTTCTGGTACCACAAACAACAAAACAATAATATCCCCTCTGCTTTCATTAAGAATGGGTGAGTCGGGGCTAGGGGTTTAGCTCAGCGGCATAAGCACCTGCCTTGCAAGCAGGCGGTCGTGAGTTCGATCCCTGGTACCGATAAAAATGAAAAAAAAAAAAAAAGACAAAAAAAAGAATGGGTGAGTCACAACCCATTCCATTAGGGGAAAATCTAGAACAAAGCATTTTCACCTGCTCTAATCTCTTGTTGTGGGTCTTAGTTTTCCCTAACACTGATTATTTACACATTTGTCATCAACAGGAAGACGTGAGCTTTCTCTTTATGTATAAAAAAAGCATGATCACTAAGTAAAAACCGGTTTGCAAGCCCACAGGACTGCTGTGAAGTCATTATTGGAGGGTAAGAGAAGCCTCCTGCAGGGTCATCTGTATTTTGAGGAATGGCAGCTTTGTATATATGACAGAGTGCCTCAGAGATTTCCCTGTTTTATTTTTCATTTACAAGTTTCTATTTTGTTAGTACATGCTCGCAGTACATAATGTTTGCATTTCTTATGTAGAGTGCTGCATGTGAGCAACACATCTTAATGTGCCTTTATGACCCTTCTTCCCCTTTCTTTATGTCTTCAACCCCGTCCCATTTCAGAGTAGTTTACCTGCCTACTTCCAGTTTTCTGTGTTTATTTTGCTTTTTATTTTTTGGGTTCCTCATATAAGTGAAACAATGCAATATTTCAGCTTGTATTTATGCAGCTTTTGCAGATTTCGTCATTAATTTCCCACTTTAGTGCACTATGATCAGATTCTATGCATGGAATAATTTCATTCCCTTTGCATTTACTTAGAAATGTTTTATGAGTTAAAATATAATCTTTTTGGAGACTGTCCCATGTGCAGCTGAGAAGAATGTACATTCTGATGTGGTTGGGTGGAACACTACTTAAAATCCACTAAGTCCATCCATTCACAGGTGTGATTCTGTTCTGTTGTTTCTTGGCTGAGTTTTGTCTGGTTGATCTATCTCCTTGTGACAGTGGGGTGTTAAGGTCTCCTATTATAATTGTTTTCCTGTGTGTTTGGTTTTACCTGTCCACTAGTGTTTGTCTTATATAGTTGGGGCCTCCTGTTTGGTGCATATTTATTTATAAAAGCACTTTTTGTGTAGTTTTCTACTTACAAGTATGTAGTGGCCTTCTTTATCTCTTTTAATAATTTTAGGTTTGGAGTTCACTTTGTATGCAAACAGAATAGATACCCCTGCCTATTTTGGGTTCCTGTTGCATGGAATACTGTTTTCCATCTTTGACTTTAGTCTATGCTCTTCTTTTTCAGTCAGCTGTGTTTCTTGTGCCTATCATCTTGCATATTGCAAAGGTGTTTTTTTAATCTACCATTCCTCATAAGATAATAAGTTCTGGGAGAGGCCTTGAATCAAGGCCTTTCCAAATCCTCACTTGAGTTGGATTTAGGACCCCTTGACAGCCCTTATCTTTGCATATGTGTTGCTGTCATCACTCTAGCTGTGGGTTGCATTGGAAGTGGTTGATTGAACTAACTTGCCAGGATGCCAGTGTCTGAATAGGATTACAAATATAACTTTTTAGATTGAGAGGAAGCCTGGGAAAAGGATTACAATACTTGGATTACAATATTTGATATTGAGATTACATTAGGTTCTTACATGAATTCCTGGTAAAATCCTTTTTAATCTCATTTTTATTGATATTCATTTTAAGATTTGTAATTTCCTTCTTTTACTAGTGTTGAATTTGGAGCGTGCTTGCATTTAGGGCCTTCAATTGTATGTTATCTATTTGGGATTATCTATTTATTCAGTGTGAACATTAAGAGTTATGAAATTCTCTTTTTCAGTGGTATTGGTTGTGTCCCTTAAGCTTGGAATGTTGTGTTCCCATTGTCATTTAATTGTGGGAGTTTTCAAGTTTTTTCCTTGACATTTTCTTGGACTACTTAATTGTTCAAGAGTGTATTGAGGAGGCTGGAGAACATGGCGGACAGACAACAGCAACTACTGAACGCTCTCTAAAGGCTCGGCTCAGAGGCCAGGAATGATGTGGACTAAGGAGATACGAACCAGTAGAGATATGCTCTGCTGACTCAGGAACGAACTGGGCTGAGAGAATCCAACTTGGAATACAGTCCTGGCGCTAAAATAGGAACAGAAAAATCTCGGTGTGGAGGCTCGACTCCGCGTCATTGGAAACCGCGGTTTGGATTTCCCGCCGCGCGGCGGCCGGCTACCTCCACAGCGGCTCAGCAAGGAGAGAAGCAACCGCCGAGCTCTGGGAACGGAGTCGGAAACGCGACGGACAGGAAGGAAGGCTGACTGGTGGCGAGGTGAGCGAGGAACTGACTCCCTTACCGCAGTCTGACTCCAGCGGAGGATTTTCTGGGCGCGGGCAGTCCTGTAAGAGCAGGGCGCGGTGGCAACTGCAGCAGCGCATTTCCCTCTCGGACGGGATTGGTGAAAGGTGCCTGGCAGGAGGGACGCTGCTCGCGGACTCCCTAGGCTGGCCTAGCCCAGATCCCAGAGCCTGACGGTGGCCCGGAGGAGCGACCGACTTCCGCGTAGGCTGTCTCCTCCGCAACTCCCTGGGGCGCAGCAGTGAGCTGGAACAACTAGCCAGCGCAATTCGATCAAGCTGTAGCTGACAGGCAGGGAAGCCGGGCCTCCTGTGTAAGATTACATTTTATAAGGAACAGAAAATATGGGGAAGGGAAGCAACAAAAAAGGCTCCTCGACCCCCAATCCTGAGAATCAGGCAATAGTGGACACTGTACCAATATACATTAAGCGCCATTTAGAGAGCCTCATAGACCAATTCAGGAATGAAGTTATCAATGACCTGAAGCTAGAAGTATGCAGAATAGTTAGAGAAATGCTAAGCACCACCCAGGAAAAAGCAGATGGTGGAGTGGAAGAACAGAAAAAGAGGGGAGAATTGCTTGACGGAGAAAACAGAGAAAGCATTGAGTATGTGAAGCAGGTGCAAAGGGACTATCAAGAAATCAAGAACTCTACCCAAGACTGGCATAACAGCTTGAAAGAAACTAAGGACAGACTATCTGAATTGGAGGGCAGACTTGAAACATGGGAGAATGAAATGAAAAACTTCTTAAAAATAACAAAGAAACACACAGCAATAATACAAAGACAAGAAGATGATAAGAGGAGCCATAACTTAAGGATTAAGAACATAAAAGAAGAAGTAGGGACACAAACAAGTGAACTACAAAAGCTACTCACAGAAATAATCCAGGAGAATTTTCCTAATTTAGCAAAAGGTAAAGATACTCAAATGTATGAGGCATACAGGACCCCAGCTACCTACAACCCTAACAGAGAAACACCCAGGCATATAATAATAAAAATTCCAGAAATTCAATACAAGAACAGAATATTAAAAGCTGTAAGAGACAAGAAACAGATCACTTACAAGGGAAGACCCATCAAAATTACAGCAGATTTCTCTTCACAAACCATCAAATCACGAAGAGCATGGGGAGAAATAATTCAAGCTTTGAAAGATAATAATCTACAGCCAAGATTGAGATATCCTGCACAACTGTCCCTGGAAATTGATGGAAAAACGAGGTGCTTCCAAGATAAAGAGGAACTGGGGGAATTTGCAACCACCAATTCAACCCTACAGAAAGTATTGCAGGATATTCTAAAAAAAGAAAAATACAAAGAACCCAGAAATAGGGGCGGGGAGGCCACAACGAATAGAGCAGAGAACAAAACGAAGAAGACAAACTGACAGCTACTGACAGAAAAAGAGCTCAACAGAAATGAGACAGAGAAGATTGGATGATAGGAACAGCTTTTTTTGGAGAAAATGACATCTTAATAGGTAATGCTGATTTAGTACCATCTTGTTATGAAGTCTCATCTAGCTTTTGTTCTTCTGTCTCCAATGGTCTAAACAGGTTGTATCTTATTGGATTTTACTATGTACGATAGTATAAGAAAAAACCTGTTAAAGACAAGGAGATTATACAGAGACCATTGTTCATTTTCTGTTAGTCGATTCTAAATACTCTATAATGCTGTCATTCTCTTAAATGGATTTACATTGTTTTGATATACTTAATGCTACAGTATATGAAGTTGTACTCAAGGACTTCAGGGAGGGAGTCAATATGGTAACTATTTTTGGGTCAGGATTATCTGGTGGTGAAACACTATTCTGCTTAAATGGTTATGTTTTGATCTGCCCTGTTTCACTGTTATGCCCTCTTTTTTTCTCAATCTCCACTCCATTATTTACTTTTTTATTTTTATCCATTTAATTACAGGGAAAAATATAGCAGGATATAATATAGTAACCCACTTTGACTTTCTATTATCTCGATTTGAAGCCCTGTATTACTCTCACCATCTTGTTTTTGACTGAGGTTCCTATATTCTGTTTTGCTGGATAGTATCAGGTTCGAAAGTTTAGGCATCAGCTGAGAAGATAATGAGATTCATTATAACGCCCATTCTCGTTGACTTTTATCTACTTTTGAAGACCTACAATGTCTCCAATGTTTTGGTTTTGTCGGTTTTATTCTTTACGGTTTTGTTCAATTGTATTACAACTAATGATATAGGCAATTCTATTAGAAATAGCGGGAGGCATTAGGGTAACCATGGTTGATCACCTTGTATTATGTTTTTATATAATCTATTATGTCCACCCTTTTGACTTGACCGATTCTGTTCTGTTATGTCACATTTGGTTTTACTCTCTTCCAAAAAAGCAACAAGAACTGTGGGAGCAATGAAACCCAAAATGTGTAATAGTCACTGTACAAAAGAGAGGAAAAGAAAGTGCTCTAAACTATATAACTGCATGTATATTTAAAAGTATAAGATAGAAAACGATATCACAGAGTTTTATTGGATCATTGAACAGAACTGTTTGCAGTATCATTGGTGGAATGTCCACTCTACAAGCTTTAATTTTGTGACTTGAACAATTATTTCTAAGATGGCAATATGTAATCCATTAACTAGTGATTTCCTACTGCGCATTTTTTTATTCTGTAAATCTGTATAACTTGTACCCCTTCACTGTTTTTTTTCTTTCTTTTCTTTTCTCCTTAAATAAAAATTAAAAAAAAAAGAGTGTATCATTTAATCTTCGTGTATTGCATCATATCTGTAGTTAACTGTGTTGTTAATTTCTGATTTTACTCAAGTGTGATCCATTAACATGCAGAGTGTTTTTTCAGTTTATTTGTGTTATTTCACTGTGTTTTATGGTCAAAGATGTTTATACCAGAACGTTTCATGTGCTTCTGAGAAAAATGTGTATTCTACCTTTGGGTAAAACACTGTAGATATGTGTTAAGTCCTTTTGTTTCATGGCACCAGGGTGAATTGGCATTTTG